AAATGTATCAATCCTAAAGTTGTTTTTACAAATAGAATTTGCAATCACGGAAACATTGGTGTAACAAATACAAGATGTCCCACGCACCACATTGCGTCATTGCGCGGAAGACTCATCATTTACTACTTGTAGCTTGATAGATGTATCATACGAATATGTTTCGCATTGTGGCAGTGACCTAATGGTAAATATAGAATAGTCGATGTGAGGTGAGGCAACTCCAGTTCAAACATCAACGTTGCATTTAAATTTCGAACACTACACACTTTTAGATTGTACAGATGGAAATATTTCAACAAAAACAGGCCAAAGATTTTATCTATGTGTGTGTGAATAGGGTTGCCATGTGGTCCCGGCATAGAATATGCCAACCTGTCCTTTCCCGTGGGTGTCGTAAAAGGCGACTAAGGGAGGGCGAGGGATGGGCTGCAGCGTCCCTCTTAAAACATCTCCAAAACCTAACTACAGTTGCCAATCCGTTTGCCAAGCGTAGTAACTACTGGCAAAATTCCCTAAGGGGAAGGCCTATTTTACAGCCTGATCGTCCGCAGAAAGGAAATTTCTTTGAAACCGCACTGTACACGACGAATAATGAAAGTAACCAAATTATGTTAAAATTATCACAAAACACTGTGAAAACAATTCAATAAATTAATCCAATTTTTTTTTTGTATTATTTATCGAATATGACCGTGTGGACCCGGCGTAGAATAGGCTACCCCTTCCTTTCCCGTGGATATCGTAAGAGACGACTAAAAGAAAACGAGAAATGGGAAGAAAGAGCAACAGCATCTCTCTTAAAACTACTTTAAAAGCCTAACTGTGGTTGTCAACCCGCCTGCCAAGTGTAGCAACTACTGGCTAAACTCCCCTAATGGGGAAAGCTTATGTTCAGCAGTGGACAGTTTTTTTTTGATGGATGAAAATGGTATGGTAACCCCGCCTGCGCTAACGGAATACGCTTAACACCAGTGATTTAGATGAGAATGAAAACAGGTCGACCATCAAAATCATCAGTTAAATGATAGTTTCCAGGGAGAACCGCGAGGAGGTCGACCTGGTTGATATATTGCTAGCAATGGGATTCTCCTCCATTACTAGCAATATCAGTGGACAGTTAACGGTTGAATTTACTTATAGAATATCAGCAAACAGTTTTCCGATCAGGTCCATTATTCGATTCCTCGTGGTTCCCCTTGGAAACCATCGTGACTGATTTATTGTTAGATTCGTCATGGTGGGCTATCTGACCTGCTTCATTCTCAACGATCATCCCTCATTGGTGCCCCGGCAGTGTATACAGTGTGTAAAAAAAAAAGAAAATCAATTTATAAACGAAATAAAAAATCCTATCTCTTGACCTAATATTTTAATAATTTTTGCCACAATTTTAGTCGGTTATTTTGTAAAACACAATCTTAGGTAAAATAAAAACAGTTAGAGTCTTAATTTTTCTAAAGTTAAATGCACTTAAGTTAAGGGATTCTTAGTAATGGAAACTAAAAATTCCATTGCTAGCAATATACTCAACCAGGTCGACCTCCTCGCGGTTCCCCCTGGAAACTATCATGGTTAATTCCTGATGAATTCATCATGATGGGCTAACTGGCCTGTTTTCATTCTCATCTATCACCCTTCACTGGTGCTCCGCCAGCGTATCCCGTTAGTGCAGTCGGGGTTACCATACCATTTACACCCATAAAAAAAAATGCAGTTAAGTTATCGTACTAAGAGTGAAATTATCATTACTAAACAGCTTGAACGTCGAAACGAAATAGGGTGATCCAGTTACGACGTCCGGCCGCGGTGTCGAGTGCATTACCGTTTGTGGGTCAACCGCCATATCAAAGGGACCGCGTGGCCGTTGACACACGAATGGGTTCACCTAGTTACTAACTGTGACAGTGATCTGAATAGGTCCCGTCATCTTTATATCGGCATCTTTATAGGTCTCCCACTTAGATATTTTTTTTATATGAAAATAAAATAGTGACCCCGCCTGCGCTATCGGTATACACTGGCGGGGCACCAGTGATAGATGACAGATAAGGATGCAAGCAGGTCAGTTAGCTCACCGTGACGAATCTACAAGAATTAACCACGATGGTTTCCAGGGGTAACCGCGTAGAGGTCGACCTGACAGGGTATATTGCTAGCAATGGGGCTGTTAGACCCCATTACTAACAATCCCTCCCCCCTCCACTTAGATATTAAAAGTGTGAAATTATGTTTAAATATTTGTTGAACAATCACGCTTAAACGATTCGCGCAATTTATTTAAAGAAGAGAAATTTAAGGACGCAACTATTCTCAAGGTAACTTTAAATTACATTTTTTTTAAGAACTTAGAATGAAACAAGCTGACGGCCCACCTGATGGAAAGTTTAGATATCCATGGACATAACAGCTGTTTTGCCCAAACGATTCCTAAGGACTCAGCAATTTATTTAAAGAACAGCCATGCAAACACAACTGCTTACAATTGAAACATGAATGGGACAAAGGTATTCTCAATCGACTTTTGTACAAAGTCTTAGATTTTTATTTTTTGGTCCCAGGATAGAATAGAATCCCTTCCTTTTCCGTAGATGTCGTAAAAGGCGATTAAAGGAGAGCGAGGGATGGGCAGCAACGTCCCTCTCAAAATATCTCTAAAGGCTAACTGCGGTTGCCAATCCGACTGCCAAGCATGACAACTACTGGTAACAATCCTCAAGGGGAAGGCTTATGCTTAGCAGTGGACAGTTAAAGGCAGATATGGTGATGATGATGATGATGATAAAGATATACGCAGGAGTCTTCAATTGTCTCTTAAAAACAGCAATCTCGATAATCTTAACACTAAATTCTAGACAAATTCAAACTTGCTGTTGCCATTACCGTTGAGAAAAGTCGATTGCTTGTTATTGTCCCATTCGTGTTTCAACCGTGAAGCAGTTGTGTTTGCATGGCTGTGTTTCGGTTTGAAGGGTGGGATATCCCGTGAATTTACTTCACGAAAAAAACACAGCCATGCAAACACATGGGCGAAACAGTATACTCTGTTATGTCCATGGTTGAATGTTTATATGAACTTTCCATCAGGTGGGCAGTCAGCTTGTTTGTTCTAAGTTGTATAAAAAAAATATATACCTAGCCTATGCTACCCGAAAGAATTATTGAAATCGATTGAGTTGTTTTTGAGTTTATTCATTACGATCATTCTATAAGTTTAGAAAGTAGGTGTATGTATGTATGTATGTATCTAGCAGGTACATTTATTACATAAGTAGGTAGGTATTATATGTATTTATAGTGTATGTATTCATGTAATATTTTATTATATATTTTAATATTTTATTTAACTGTATATTTGTCATGTATTAATAGTTGTTGAACTTCAGCTGCCCGCTAACGAAATGCTTTCTCACTGTACTGGGTTGACTGGAAGAGATCTCTGTCAGAGATAAGTCCACCCTTGCTCACAACATTTATAAATACATTATTTTATATGTAACTTACAAGTGCAATAAAAAATATATACTTAATGGGGGAGAAGGGATTGTTAGTATTTGAGTTTAGGGGCCCCGTTGCTAGTCAGGCAACGTGCTCTGTCAGGTCGACCTCCACGCAATTCCCCTGGAAACCATCGTGTGTGATTTATTGTTAAATTCGTCACGATGGGCTAACTGACTTGCTTCATCGTCACCCACCGTCCCTCACTGGTGACGCCGCCAATATATACCGTTAGTGCAGGCGGGATTATCACTCCATTATCATTCATAAAGAAAAACAGGTACCTAATTGTAAGACGGGTCGGATTCGGATACGGCGTTGAATCAATAACCTCATATGTTATCCGCTTGAATCATGACAGTTAGAATACATCATTTACGTACATTTGTGAGAATGCATCATTTAAAAAACCGACCAGCATAAGTACAAGTTTCCACATCATTGTATCACATCAGCCAATAAGTGTCCACTATTGAACATAGTCCTCCCCCATAAAGGGGGTTTTGCCAATAGTTGCCACGCTTGGCAGATAGGTTGACAACTGCTGTTAGTCTTTAATGATGTTTTTAGAGAGACGCTGCTGCCCACCCCTTTCGACTGTTAAGTTCCCTTAGTCGCCTCTCACGACACTCACAGGAAAGGAAAGGGTGGTCCATTCTATGCCGGGACCACACGGCGAGAAGTGCAAGTTTGCAAATGCATAATTTAAGTATATCACAAAATATATGCCTTTTTTTTTAATGGGATAAAAATGGAAAGGTAACTGGAAGGACTGGAAAGGTACCAACAGATACCAAAGTAATTATTTTAAAAATTTGTTCTTTTAGCTTCTATTGATCTTATTAAGAACTCGCACATACAATTTTCTGAATTATCTCTCATGTACTAATATCGTCTATTCATTCGTTGTATTTAAATAAAGTCGTGCAGTCCTATTGTTCCTTACTCGTGCTTTCCTAGCGTATACCGATAGCGCAGGCGGGGTTACCATTCCATTTTCACCCATCAAAAAAAAAACAGCCCCATAACTAATAATATAGCATGGCAGGTTAACAACCTCACGGTCCTCTCTGGAAACCGTCGTGCTTAATTTCAGGTGAATTCTTCACTATGGGCTAACTGACCTGCTTTTTATCCTAATTTTGTCTATCTGTATATATGTTTGTTCCAATATCACGCAAAACTACTGTTTAAAATTGAATGCAGTTTTAACTATTATTCCATTCCCGAAGGTTTATCTTAAAAACTGGTGTATGTTGTCTCATGGCATGCCATCTAGAAGACATTTATTTTATTAATTTTCTTATTTCTAAAATCCACATATACCTAAGCAAGAAGCTACTTTAAATGTAAAAAAAAGTTTGCTCGGACGTTCGTTATTCAATCATTGCTAAACGGCTGTGCAGATTTCAATAAAATTTGATAGATACACAGTTAGACCATAACTCGGATGAACACATGGGACACTTTTATCCTAATGTAAGTCAATTGTAAATAAATCCCACCTTTGTTTTGCGATCTGATCGGCGCGGGCGGCGCAGGCGCAGGTACAGCGGCGGCGTTCGCGGCCAGCGCGCACACGCATAAAATAACCGTAGTGAGCGCGTGCGACATGCGTACTGTATTACAAACAACTGTCCCACAACAAGGAACCGACAGTTTGCATGGAATTCATGCAAAACACGGATCAGGGGAGTCTAAACGCCCGTATTATATTAATCATAACAGGATTTACTTTGCTTAACCAGCAATGTTTAAGAGGCCTCTCGCGTGGAGGGCATAATATTCACGAACTAGTATATTTACATCGACAGATTATATACAAATAAATAGTTATTGTGATTCGTGTAATGTACGCTCTTTAAGCCTCCTGATCATAAATATAAATGAAGGTAGACTTTCCAAATAGGTGCAATTTTAGGGTAATATATCAAAAAGGTATAAAAAATGCAGTGATTGTCTGTCCGTTCTTATATTCATGCATCCATCTGTCACAACGCTATGTCTCAACAATTACTAACGCTATTAAGTTCGATAAACTGACATTTGAAATAATTTTATATAATGTTAGCTCACTTATGTTGGAAAGGAAGTAATTGTTGAAATTTTTTTTTCTCTTTCTAGTGAATCCAAAAGAAATACTTAAAATATCGAAATGAATCTATCAACTAATCATAATCGGGTATAGATATGATAATTTTTATATATGTCTTATGGCCTTAAAAACAATGTTTTTATATGACCTATCATATAATATATAAGACCACATAGTTTTCGACTTATGACGGAAAATATCAGGAAAAATATTATCCCTCCTATATCATCGAGCTAGTGAAGCATAAAATTCGATATAACTTCACAAGCTATCTTAATTAAAAGGTCCCATTTTTTACCATAAGAAGACAAAAAAATCCGAATTTTAGCAACAATAATAATTTTATTATTAGGTGTTTAGTGTCTATAAATCCAAATATAGCCTTAACTAAAAAAACTTATTTGTATGCAACTACTCTTGCTTTAAAGGGTAATGTAAATAGGTATAAAAACTCTTTAAAATTAGTAAATTTTAAACCATAAATTAGGAAAAGTACATGCGTCATAGAAAGAACCACAGGTGAGTATTTATCTTGTCTCCTAAATCCTTAATTATGTCAAGAAATTGTCAAGTAACTTTAACGTAAATCCCATAAAGTACAAGTAAAATTCAAAATTATAGTTGATAAAAAAGAGTGTTTTTTATGACTTGCCATGAAAAAAAGATCCTCTTTATCCAATTTAAAATTGAATTTATGTCAAATACTGAAAGAAAATAGAAAATTACGTAAACAGCTTCTAGTAGCTACGGAAAAGCAACACCAAGAAATGGCCAGAGCTATTGAGCTAAAGGAAAAAAATATAAAGCTCAAGAAACAAATTCATGAAGCTAAAGCAGAAGCTTGCAAGCTGAGAAACTTGAAACATAATTGTAACGAAACAAATATCTTCTAATTACAGAGTACCTAATAACAGTCTAATGAACTTTTCCCCAGTAATACTGATCTACATAAATATTGTGAAGAGTGGGAAATATTTTAGAAAAATATGCACCGAGTCTATGATAGCAAATTTAAAAAAATCCAAAAGGAAAATGAATATTTACAAAACCAAATTGTTAAATCGAAAAACAAACGCTGTGAGGCAAAAAATAACGCTGAAAGACTAGCTGAAACTAACTATTATTTAGAAAACTGTCTAATTGAAGCTTATCATGAAGTACAGAATTTGAAGATGAAAATAGTGAATTGACTCCTTTTGTATTAGTGTTTTGCCATATTATTATTATTGTGATTTCATTTTTACATGCGTATATAGGTAATGTATTAATTAAGTACCTACACATTTTAATTCCTTTTAATTTATTTTTCTCTCTGCTTCACAAAAAAAGCAAATTCAATCGTAAAAACACATTGATAAATGGGGAAGTTTGATAAATGATGATCTGCATACAATTATTTTGCGAAGACCCTACATTTTAAATATTGCGTTTTTATCTAGATATAGATAGACTGCTTTACAAAAAGTATTGTAAAAAAATTAAGAGTGCCATTTATGGTCTAGTGATAAAAGATAGAACTAATTCTTAATCATAAATCGGTCTATAGAGACAGCGCTAAAGGTCATTTGTTAATCTATTTTAGGTATTAAAAAATAAAGATTAACAATAATTATCCTAATTTAGGCTATCACAAGTTTTACAGAAAAATTTCACCTTCATGGTGAATACGTATTTCTGGAGAGAACTTAAACTGCTATTATGAATTAATTCTACCTTTTACCATTGTTAAATGGCAAAAGATAGAATTACGCAGCATTGTTTGGAATTATCCAAACAACGCTGCTTATGAAAACTGCATTTATTTATTTATTTTGGTAATTCGATTGTTTCCTAATCGCGCAAAGTATTAAATGGACTATTCTGCATCAAACAACGTCTATATGCAATCTGATGCCTAAAATGGTAATAATAACACAGTATAAATAATTATTTTTTAATTATTCTGCTGAGGCATAAAATATCGGATATAAAATATAAAAAGGACAAAATTAGGTTTGATCGTTCCTTCGCTGTGTAAGAAGTATGAAATGTAATTCTTTATATTGTATCTACCGATATCTCGACCGTATAAAGAAAACAATACAGAAAATATGCAATTTTTGGGTCTATCGAAGAAATGTTTTTCCACGCAATTTTTAATTTGTTTTTGTTAGAAGTTCAAAAAAAAAAAAACGTTTACATGAAATCTACATAGATTTCATACAAACCACTTTATATAATTTAAAAAAGTTATAAAATCTAATATGTTATCAATTATAACTATAGATATAAATATTTTCAGTAAAGGCATATTGTAAGAAAAATATTTTATTTATTTAAAAAACTTTTTCATTATTAAATAATTATAAAAAAAATATATAGAAATAATATTAAAATGTGAAAATTATTTTACAAACACTTAATAATTATTGAAATATGATTTTCATATATTATTAATACTTAATAAATAAATATTTATAAAAATTTTCTTTAAATACCTATAATTAAACATTTATTTTATTGTGTTAATACTTTTAAATGATTTATTTTTCAATTTTATCACGATAAAGGTAGTGCAGACTCTTGTAATTATATAAACTTATAGTTACATGTTCTTTGTCGTTAGATATGTTTTTCTAATCCGTGGTTCCGTTGTTAATCTGTGGTGATTACTTACTCTGTGTTTGATGTTTTTGTTTTTGTTCCTTCCTAATCTGTGAGTTTGTTTATCTTCAATAGCTTATTACTGTTTATACTTTATACAAAAATATTGTATTTTTATTTAAAAGCAATCACTTTTGTGAATCATGCAAGGTAATCTCAATTATTTTAAATGACATGACTTTCATTTAAATAACATCTTACTGCAAATAAAAATATTACAATGTACAAACCGACTATTTCAATACTTTAATAAAAAACTAAATTTTTTACCTTATTTAACAGATTTATTTTATTTATTTAAGAGAACCTCTCTTAATTCCAAATTAATGACCAAACTAGTTTCTTGCGTGATACTTTGTAGTAAATATATGTTTATGATGAAGTATAGAGAGTGTACTCCAGCTCCTAAACCACACGTTTTGGAGATATCATCTCCTAGATTACCTCTGTCCCACACGTTTTTCAAGCACCTGTGCTTATTTTTTTTTTTTTTTATTTATTTAATGAAATTATAGGGTATGGAAACATAACATTTTATTCCTAAAACATGGCAATGCACAATGTCTAGCTTGGACTTTAAAGTTAATTATGTTATATCCATGGTACCATTCATTTTTAAAGATGGACAATGACAATAATTTGGTTGGACCACCAACTTTTTTTCACACTAAGTTTAAAAAATGTATATAAAACCCAGCATTAAATATTTAAAAAAAAACTATTTCAGGCAATAGAAGTCGGTCCCGATCACCGATTAGATCACAATCCATTAATGATAATGCAGCAAATAATGATAATAGCAAGAACTGTCTCTACTTATTTGTGGGTAACTTACCCACTCACTGGGACCATATTAAGATCAAAATGTTTGTTTCTGACACATGCAGGTCATCTGTAAGTATCTTAATTGTTTGTATAATTTAGCTTATACATATTATATCGGCTGGAGAATAACAATACTACATTTTATATCAAAATCACAAGTAAATACTAATACATTAATAGTGTAATAATAATTATATTGTAGAGTAAAATAGGATATCTATATTTTAATATTTTTATTTAACTAATTAATGCCTCTAATGGCCTAGGTGTCATCTCTTCCCAATAAAAGTACATATTTTGATAAATAATTTAATATATTTACAATTTGTATTCTCCATTAATGTACTATTTGTATTATTATAGTATATTATTTTTTATTTATGGTAAAAATATTTATATACATTATAAATAAATTAAATAATTGTTTATTCCGCATTAACTTAAAACATAGTGTAGGTGGTGTATATATTGGCCTACCACTATGATAAAACTCAAAAATAATCACTTCTTCCAACATCCTGAGGATGAAAGGGGTATAGTAGTATATTTTAAGATTCATTAAGATGCTCAAATGCAGAGAGTTTAAAAAATATCTAAAAACACTAATTGTATCTATCCCCAGTGAAGAACCAATAGAATTTGTACCTATATGTATAAAAAATTATATCATTTGTAATAAAAATAAACATTTATATTTCAGATAATTTCAAAGTCCTTGAAATTTGTGAAAGTTTTGAAAGATCTTAGAAATAGGTCAAAAGGAGAGTGCATATTGAAATTTTCAAGCCCTAATGCGTGTATTATGGCATTCAAACTATTAAAAGGTGTTGATTGTGAAGATAAAAAATTAGTTGTAATGCTTGATTCTGGTAAGAAATGTGTATTCATATTTGTGCATAGACAAGTTAGATACAAACATTTGTTTTCCTAAGCAACTCTGGGTGTTTCCTATACATTTATTATAGACATTTTTACATTTTGGGTCACTTAGGCACACCATTTTTTTAAACCTACCGTCCAATGCAGTCTTAAAATATTTTAAAACATCACCAAAGCTTATAGATTTCATTACACAAAAAAGGCCAATTGTAGCATAACCAGTTATTTTTATTTAAAAACTAAACTACTAAACTGATTTTAATAAATTTTTTTATGGGCTGTATGGCAACCTGTATATTCTTTCAGATAGAATAAAAATCCATATTGGTTTATAAATAACAGGATTATTAGGTAACATAGAAAAAAAACTAAATTAAGAATCTCTTCTCTTATTGAAGTCTCTTGAAAAACTGACAGAAAATTTAAACCCTATTTATACTAAAATAACAGTTGAGTGCATGTTGCTTATGCAGAATAAAATGTTTTAGTACATTTTCCTCTCATACTTCTTTTTAGAATATGTTTAATTAATAACACTCATAGAATGTTTATTAAAAAAGACGATTCTCAGCTGTGGATGTGTGGTACTGGCATAGAATAAGCCACCCCTTGTTTTTCCCTGGGTGTCATAAGAGGCGACTAAGGAAGGACGAGGGATAGGCAGCAGCTTCCCTCTTAAACCATCTACAAAACCTAACTGCAGTTGCCAATCCACCTGATACGAGCGGCGACTACTGACAAAACTCCTCAAGCAAAAAGGCTTATGTTGAGCAGTAAACAGTTAAGGTTGATATGATGATGCTGATGATTACACTAGTAAACCAGTTTCAAAAATAAGTATAACACAGTAAATAATTAGTTAAGCCCTGTGACTTCTCCTGTGTAACTTACATACATAAAGTGTACTATTTGCTAGTTAGGATACAACCTACCTATGTGCACAATTTCATTTAAATCTGTTCAGTTGTTTCTGTGTGAATCTGTTATGTCCATGGTACTGCTCATGTCTATAGACGACGGTTACCACTTTCCATCAGGTGGACCGTCAGCTTGTTTGCCATTCTAAATGTATAAAAAAAAAATCCGTCCTTACAAAATTTCAAATTTATAATATTAATAGTATCACTATACTTATTTTAGCCGTGTAGGTCCCAGCATAAAATAAGCGATTCTTCCCTTTCCTGAAGGTGTCGTAAGAGGCGACTAAGGGAAGACAAGGAATAGGCAGCAGCGTCTCTCGTAAAATTTCCAAAACCTAACTGTGCCTGCCAAGCGTGGCAACAAACCCCCCTCCCCCCTTATAGGGTGGCTATGTGCAGCAGTGATACAACTATTCTTATATTAACAGGTGAACTGTTTGAACAATTAACAAGTGATACAAGGAAAACAACACAATACAATGATAAACCTGCACTGTGAGTATAGCATATGTATATTTCTTTAATATTTTTAATAAATATAAATATAGCTAAATATCTAATTATAAATAAACTAAAGAACTGGCTAAAGGAACAGAATTTTTATGACATAAAACATTTCCTTGGTAGACGTTTTGACAATTTAGTATTAACAAAAATTTTTGTATATCTAACAATGATTGATAATAGGAAACTTAATTTGCATGCTATATGATTTTAGCAAGACATGTGCACTCTTTAATATAATTATACCATGTTTTAAGCAAATAAATATATATTATTATAAAAAAAAAACCGAATTATGTATAATCTGAATGATTAACTCGATCAATCATAAAACTGTTGGTGTACACAGTAATAAACAATGTAATTGTGTTTTAATTTGTTGCTATTTTATTTAGAAAGTGTTTCTGTGTTAATTTCTAAAAAATTTGTTTACTTCTTCATTGAATTGCATTGATACAGACATATATATTATTCATGTTAATTTATTACATTTTAATATTATCAACAGAAATAAAAATTTACCAACAAATAGTCACCCATCTCTCAATACAAACAACGCGAAACCTGTGGATGTTACCAACGTCCAAGGTATGCATGAGACGTACGGACTTAGCTTGACTTTCTTGCAAACTCTCGGAATAAAGTTGCCATTGCAAAAAAGAGTATTCGTAAGAAATGTGAGTGTCATATTTTTTTTTTTTATATTAATGTAATTGAAATATATGAAGGACCGTATGCAAATAAATCTTGGTCAGATCGAATTCCACACGGTCCCTCCTGGAAGCCATCATGATATTTTTTTTAAATAAATGATAATGGAATGGTAACCCCGCCTACGCTATCTGTATATACTAAAAGGGCACCAGTGAGCGATGTTGATGATAGTTGACGATGAAAGCAAGTCAGTTGAACCATCATAACTAAATATTGTTTTTTTACTCCTGATGAATTCACTATAATCAGCCAAGTGACTTAACTTCATACTCCGCTAGTGCGATTGATATTAATTCATAAAAAAAAAAAATAGAAACTTCAGAGTAAAAATTTAGATAGAGTAATTTAAATTATATTTTTCAGTTACCTAGTAATATAGAGGAAGACCAGTTGCGCCATATCTTCGGGTATGCGGGCCAAGTTTACGCAGTAATGATTGTGAGACAGAACCGGGAAAATGAAGAAAAATTGTTTGCAAAGATCGAATATGACCATCCAGTGGAAGCAGTGCAGGTATTTATTTATTCAGTACTAACTTTTATCTGTAACTTTGTTTGCGTAACTGGAACAAATAGTATGTCCTTCTCCAACCCATATAGTACATGTATAACACAGTTCATAGTACTTTCGTAGTTAAGCTGTTAAGGCATTATGAGTTTTTTTTTTTGATGGGTGAAAATGGTATGGGAATTCATCAGGAATTAACCATTATAGTTTCCAGGGAGAACCACGAGGAGGTCGACCTGATTGGGTATATTGCTAGCAATAGGATTCTCAGTCTCCATTACTAACAATCCCTTTCCCCCAGGCATTATGAGTTAACAAATAAACAAACTTCCTATTCACGTTTATGGGCTTTTACCTTATTTAGTTATATTATCCCTGTATGTACATATTATCTTACAGTACTATCTTATAGCCAAAGAAAGCCATCAAAAAAATATGACACTATTAAAAAAATATTGACTAACTCAAAATGAATAGTTTTATTAAACTAAAACAGAGCTTATTTCATAATCTAGTTTATAAAGAAATATTACTTCATTAAATTCCTTAGGCAATATACTAACTTAAGATACTAAATTAATGGTCCTTTTAAATTGGTAGTCTAAAACTAAAACTAGCTGTCTATATGCGATATTATATGTCGTTCCCGACATATAATGGGCCACCCCTTCCTTTCTTATGTGTGTCGTAAGAGGTGACTAAGGGAGCTTATGGTGGAGGGATGGGCAACAGTGTCCCTCTTAAAACATATGTAAAAGCCTAACTGCGCTTGCCAACCCGCCTGCCAAGAGTGGCAACTACTGGCAAAACTCCCCTTATGGGGAAGGCTTATGTTCAACAGTGGATAGTTAAGGGCTGAAATAATGTGATATGATGCTATATGTTACCGCTTTTCATTACATAGACTAGATTGCTAACAGAGTAGCTTGTGTGCCATTCTAAGCATTATAAAAGACTCTTCAATTTGTTATAGGCAGTGTCAATGTTCCACGGTCAGGAATACATGAGTAAGAAATTGCATGTACAAATGGACAACAACCCAAATGCTAATTTCCAATACTTACCACGCGAACTAAAGACCGTAGGACCTGGACTAGGGCCCAATGGAGAACCGTTGAGAAACGTCAGGAGCGCCGTCGAGTTTGAGCCCGTCAAACAGCTTCTACTACAGGAACTGGCTAAATTACAAACGATGAAACTTCAAGAGGGAAATATGAGCAGCATGGCCGTAAATCAAGTGATCCCACAAGACAACACCATGGGTATCATGAACAACATGATGAACTTCCAAAACCCTATGGGCCTTTTGAATGTTAATGCTTTCAACCCGCTCAGTCAGCAGAGTTGGTATGGCCTCAGCAATCTGATGAGCAATCAAGGGACACAGAACTTGCAGGTCATGCAAGGGTTACTACAGCAAAGTATGGGTAACGATCTATCTGGGTTACAGATTCAAAATATGCCAAACACAACTCAAAGTTTATTGGGCAACATGTCTCAGAATCAATGGAATACTACGTCTCAAAATCTATTAACCAACATGAGCCAGAATATTGCTCAAAATCGATCGGATAACATGGATTCATATTCACAAAAAAATCAAACGAGACATAGAGATAGAAAGATTTCAGAAGATGATGACCATTACGAAAAATCATATGACAAATTTGATATTGAGCGTCTGAGTTACGCCAATTCAAAGTTTAATAAAGGTTTGTATTATCAATCCAGCTGCACCAGTTATTTGGTCTGTTTTGTAATTGTTTTGTTTCATCATTGGTTTACCAGAGAGATAATAACTCTTAATAAATCGCCACATTTTTTCTATCTTACTTTTTCTCTATAGTCTATACTTTAATCTGTTGTCTATTATTAATGTTGCCATATATAAAACCATAATATCAATAAAATTCCAGATACTGTACTAATTAAATATTAAATCTAACATTTTCAGACTCGGATTCATACCGGCGCAGCGCAACACCGAAGAAAAGTGATGATTCTGATAGAAATATTATGTCATCATCGGGCATGTTGATTTTCACCGATGTAAGTATTAAAATTGTGGTTCGTTCACAAAAAAAATTAAATGTATAGTTTTTTTTATTTTAACCGACATCTAAATAGAAGCGCTCTCAGTTTACCTGTTTTTTTTTTTATCTTTGCAAATTCTGAACCAATTTTAATAATTATTTTTACAACTAATAGATGTTTCCTCTCGTATTGATCCCATACTAACAACTTATTTAGTTTAGCGGCGTGTAATGAGTTCTATTTTCTTTTTTTTTTAAATATATTAATTTTAGTTAAAGTTGCCGATTTAATTTGTGGAACAAATCAATGTAAATTAAAACGGTAGTCAAGAAAACTCGACTAGTTTCGGGACCATTCGGGACCCTTGATCTTGAGAGGCTGTGTCGTGAGCCTGCCTCAGCGGGCCGAGGCTCCGTGCCTAAGAGACCCGGATAGTCCTGAGACTAATTGTGATTTCTCTACCGAATTACACGAAAGTTAAGCATATAGTTATTACATTAAAATCTTATTATTGCAGCTGCCTTCAAGTGTGACCATCAAGGCGTTATCATCCAAAATGAGCGAAGTGGGCGAAGTAAAGTTTGCGGAGATGACCGGACAGAACAGGGCCATCGTGAGGTTCACTAACGCCCGCGACGCAGAACGCTGTGTCAGTATCCTTTTTAAATTATCAAAGCTCAGTCATAAGCGAACTACAGATTCCGAATCCTCAGGAATGGCAACGCATGGGGGGTATCATGGGCGAAACATTATACCCTATTATGTCCATGGTACTGCTCATGTCTATAGGCGACGGTTACCACTTTCCATCAGGTGGGCCGTCAGCTTGTTTGCCATTCTAAGATGTATAAAAATACCCTCCATGCGTTGCCATTCCTGAGGACTCAGGTGTTATTCCTGTGGCGTATATATATTGTATATATAACAAACCTTTATAAATACCTTTTGAATTTCCGTAGAAAAATAAATTATAAATAACAGCGCATGCGAAGTTGCGCGCGCAGTATAAAATTTAGAAATTGTCATTCTTTTTAGAAAATATATAGACGTTTGAATATTGAATTAAATATTTTACTGACTCATTTCCCATAACTGGTGACCCCGTAAAAACGCATATTACAATGGCATCGTCTAACAACAACGACGAAATATTTAAAGTGGGAATACGAGTTCCGCCATTTTGGCCGGAGGAACCCGAAATATGGTTTGCTCAGGTTGAAGGCCAATTCGCCGTCTCAAATATAACAGCAGATGCAACGAAGTTTAACTACGTTATTGGACAACTTGACCACCAATTTTCAAAGGAAGTGAAGGACATTATAATTTCACCACCTCCGACGGAAAAGTATGAAAAATTGAAAACTGAACTTATCAAACGTCTAAGTGCCTCACGCGAGAAGCAGGTAAAACAACTACTTATGCATGAGGAATTGGGAGACCGTCGCCCGTCACAATTTTTACGGCATTTACAAAGCCTCGCCGGACCGAACGTGCCAGAGGACTTTCTCAAGACCATATGGACAAGTAGACTACCACGCAACGTACAGACAGTGATAGCTGCTCAACCTACAGCGTCACTAGAGGTACTTTCTGATTTGGCAGACCGTATCCAGGATATTGCCCCTGCTACTCCGCAAGTGTCAGCTGCATCAACATGTGGATCATCACTTGACGCTATGGCCAACGAGATAGCCGAACTCCGGCGGCAGATGAAAGTGCTTATGGATCGTCAGTCTCGTCCCCGTTCCTGTCAGAGAAGTCGCAGCCGCTCTGAAACGCGATCGGAATCCAACTATAGAAAATTCCCGAAGTGTTGGTATCATGCAAAGTATGGATCTAAAGCAAAGCGATGCGTAAAGCCTTGTGATTATCAGGCGGGAAATGCACAGGGCGGTCGGTAATGGCGACGAACGGCCGTCCCAACACGTCTGGTCGCCTGTTCGTCGTAGATCGTCGGTCGAAGATGCAATTTCTAATCGATACAGGAAGCGATGTTTGTGTCTTCCCACGACGAGCACTGCATGAGCGTCGTCCTAAATCAGATTTCCAACTTTCTGCTGCTAACGGTACCACGATCAGCACATTTGGATATACTCACCTGGATTTGGATCTTGGTTTGCGCCGTGATTTCCCATGGCGTTTCATTGTTGGTGACGTCACTAAGGCGATTATAGGAGCTGATTTTCTAAAGTTCTATGGTCTTCTAGTAGACTTACGTAACCAACGATTGTTAGACAACACGACGACACTGTCCGTCGTTTGCTCTCCTGCGCACTCGTCGACTACAATTTCTTCTATCAAGATACCAATCGGCGAGTCTCGCTACGACCAAATCCTGAAGGAATTTCCTGAAATTACAAATCCATCCAGAAAACAAGCTGATATCAAACACAATACCGTTCACTTCATCAGGACTACGCCCGGACCTCCAATTTACTGTACTCCACGCCGTCTAGCGCCAGATAAATTAAAAATCGCAAAGGCAGAATTCGAGTCTATGATTAAATTAGGTATTGCTCGACCATCGGAAAGCTCCTGGGCCTCGCCATTACATCTGGTACCGAAGAAGGATAACGGATGGCGGCCTTGTGGAGATTACCGAATGCTAAATGCTCGCACCATTCCTGACAGATATCCAGTTAGACATGTTCATGACTTCACACACAGTATAGCAGGTTGCACAGTATTCTCAACAATAGATCTTGTCAAAGCCTATCATCAAATCCCAGTAAATCCAAGCGATATTCACAAGACTGCCATCACAACACCGTTCGGGCTTTATGAATTTCCTGCCATGACGTTTGGTTTACGAAATGCTGGGCAGACTTTTCAGCGTTTTGTTGACGAAATGACGCGTGGATTGGATTTTGTTTACCCTTACATTGATGACTTCTTAGTCTTTTCCAAAAATGAGGATCTTCATGAGCAGCACCTGCGTATACTATTCAATAGATTGAAGGATTATGGAATTGTCATCAATATTTCAAAATGTAACTTTGGTCGGTCTGAAGTAAAATTTCTTGGATATAATATATCAGCCAATGGTATCAAACCTCTTGATGAGAAAGTTGAAGCGATCAAATCGTTTCCTCCTCCCAAGACAGTTCGAGAACTCCGCAGATTTTTAGGGATGCTGAATTTCTACAGACGATTCATTCCCAGCGCTGCCGAAGTTCAAGCACCTCTACATGCTCTCATGACTGGCTCAGTTAAAGGTTCTTACCCTATCAACCTGTGTGATGATACCCTTCAAGCCTTTGAAGATTGCAAAGAGAGTCTATGCCGCGCTACACTTCTTGCTCATCCGGATTGCCAATGCAGACTTGGTCTTGTGACAGATGCCTCAGAAACTGCAATCGGAGCCGTCTTACAACAATATAAAGATGGAAATTGGCAACCGTTAGCCTTCTTTTCACGTAAGCTAACCTCAGCGCAGCAAAAATATTCTCCTTATGATCGAGAGCTGCTTGCCGTGTACGAAGCATTAAAATATTTTAGACACATGGTTGAAGCCAGGGATTTCACGATCTTTACAGATCATAAACCATTGTGTTACGCCTTTCACCAACGCAGGGATAAATGTTCACCGAGACAGTTTCGTCATCTGGATTTTATATCCCAGTTTACAACTGACTTGAGACACATCTCGGGAAAGGACAACCTAGTCGCAGACACATTGAGTAGAGTGAAAGAGGTGGAACTGTCTATCAATTTCTCTCAACTTGCCGAGTCACAAGCAGCTGATCCAGAATTAAAGAATCTGTTAGAACATGGAACTTCATTACGTTTGGAGAAGGTGAAGATACCTGGAACGCATGCAGAATTATATTGCGATGTGAGCACTCCAATTCCTAGACCCTACGTAACAAAGTCCATACGCAAACAAGTCTTTGATAGCCTGCATTCATTGAGTCATCCTGGTGCTAATGCAACAATCAAGTTAGTAGCAGAACGCTACGTATGGCCAGGGATTAAAAAAGACTGCAGAGAGTGGACGCGTACATGTCTAGCTTGTCAACGTTCTAAGATAACTAGGCATGTATCCTCACCTTTAGGTACCTATCAGCTGCCACGAGCTCGATTCATGCATGTCCATATAGATCTCATCTATTCTCACTCATTTCCCATATTCCTATATACCCAGTAAATTTACGCCATACCCCACCCTTCAAACTGAAACACAGCCATGCAAACACAACTGCTTCACGGTTGAAACACGAATGAGACAGAGGTACCCAAGCAATCGACTTTTGTAAAAAGTCTCCCTCTGGTAAAATTCACTAAAGATGCTTATGTTTTGCCTAATGTGTTAGTAATACAGCGGGGTGGAAGGGACAGGTTGGCCAAAACAGCTGATTCAAGTGAATTGTCTGAATCAGATGGCAGATTATTTTCCCGCCGGAAATGCACCACAGGCTTATAATTAACGATTCTTAGTTTAGACGCCGCGCATTGTATTTGACATTCTACGATCCACACTGCGTAATACCTACACAGCGCATTCAGAACCTTTCTTCGTAGGTATGTTTCATAGGCTTATGGCATGGTAGGATTTTAATACGTTGTATTACATTGTTGCTGCTATGTTATATATGCTGTGCCATATTTAACATTTGTTGCATGATAATATAGAATTATTAATTTATTTTGTATAGAAAACAAAATTATAAGAAGAAACGTGTAAGGTAACTTTCAAAATGCATTTATTAGAACTCTTTTAGATTTTCAGCGTACAGCCAAAGACTTGCTGGAGGTAATGATTACTTTGTGTTTACCATTTTACAAAGTTGAAACTAGCATTTTCAGTTAAAGGCCATACATTTTTAAATCTCAATTTATAAACATAAAATATCACTTTTAATAAAATTAATAATAATTTACAATCTTATTTTGCAAATAATTTCCTTCAACTCCGAACTCAGGACTGTTTGATCGTTCTAAAGTGGATGGTCAGATAATCCACGTGAAATTCCTATAAGTGATGGTAAGTGAATATTTCAGATGCACCGCTGTGGGGTAAGTAAAAATAAAAAAAAATTATATATTTTTTTACCAACTTTTAGTAAGGGATTTTATTTTCAAAGTTTAATTCATTATTTGATCATTAATAATGGATTTAAATGTCTATTAAGAATATTTCAGTATCATTTCTTTTTACTTAATTATATTTTTATTCACCGAAGATTTTATTTTATAATATTCAGCATTCATCTTTTAATGTCCCTATTTGTATTTTAAAAATAGCAAAACGCCATACAGAAAAAAAATAGCTTCGGCTTACCATCTAAAAGTTTTTGTGTTTGAGATAACTCGTCTTTCTATGAAAGTTTTATTTACATACATACATATCTGTCACGCCTGTCTCTCATTAGGGTAGGCAGAAACAATGGAACGCCAAATGCTTCGATTCAAACAAACCTCTTAAAGTTAAGAGGTTACGTTTACCTCTTACCTCAAGTTTTATTTGTTTTTATAAAATACTAATATAGATATTTATTCTATTGCTATAAATGGTTGAGCCCAAAATGGCTGATGCTGACGTCGGCCAACTCCAAAACGTTTTTTTTCTTCATACATACACACATATATACGTATGTTTTTTCTTCCTTCTTACGAAAACTTAAATATACTGTTCTAAAAATTAAAAATAAAAACATTCTTGTTCGCGGCGCCGCCGCATCTCACTGATTGTCATAATTCAAAAAAATTTCTTTATAGCAAATGTAAATGGCTTGAAAGTGAAAATGGGATTAATCCCATTAATTTTAATACACCGTATGCAAAAATTAAAAGGTAACTATAGCTTTTAATCAGGTGAAGAACTATAAACTGTGTTTATACCATTATGAGAGAGAGACACCTATATCCACCATCTTTTTCATATGTACGATAATAAACATATCCGTGAGTGGATTTGTTCACACTGCCCCATCGCTCTGTCAATCTTTTTTGTGTTTTATTTTTTTTTTCCCTATTTCTAAATTTCTTCTCATTTTTATTACTGGCAACTCGTCTATTCTTTTTAAGCCAATATTTTTTTACCAGTGTCGGTTTTAGAATTTCCTCATTTTATTTGAAATTATTAATGGGTAATAGATGGAGACAACGCTCTAATTTGATCCATCACTGCACACCAAACGTTTCTTATGTTTCTCTAAAAAACTAGCAATCAAATCGAAAGTGTATTTTTCGAATGAACGGTTTATTGTAGTATTCCGTACATATTTATTAACATTTATAAAAAAAAATTTATTTGTATTTAATTACATCAAAGGTTTATAACTCCAGATTATTATATTTGTAAATTGTAGACGAAAATATAAATAGTGTTGATGAAATTAGATACCTTTATAGGTACATTTATTTAAATTTAGTCCAAAATATTTACGTCGTTGTATTTGATTTTCTGACATATAATTTTACCCGTAGCTAATTAATTCAAATCGGCCGAATTGTCTGAAAAGTTTGTATTTTACTATTTTTATTTAATAATACCTGCCTTAGTCACCAAATAAGTATATATTTTTTTTGTTTTTTTTTTAGTTGGCATTGGAGTGACCCAAGATTGGGTTATTTTTTTTTTGTATAAAATATTTATTCCTATTTATATTAGGCTGAAAATTTGTGTTCAAGCGATGGATTGATGTATTCACATGATAATGTCTTTTCTATTGTTAAAGGTTAAATATTGTTAATATCAAAAGATTAAGTTCTTACTTTACTTTCTTATTTACTTAAATAAGATTAACTTATTTCATTTTAGGTATAAATATTATTATATATAAGTGGTAGTTTATTTATTATATACTTTATTTTAATAGTAATTACGTATAAATAATCTGCAAAACCTAGTTATCTGCATAATGGATGCACTAACCTGTTTATAGGTTAGTAAATGGTCGACAACAGGATTGCCAGTTTAGGGTACTTTACCCTAGTTTTAAGGACAATTTGGTAGGTTATTTTTAGAATATTAATTTAAAGATGGCATGAGTTTAAGTTATTGTTAAGAATAACTTTTTTATTATATACCCAATTACCTTGTCTATCCTACCACTATTTTGCAATATTGACCAACATTCTTCTGGCATGACATTTTATCGTTCAGATATTAGTGACGAAAATTTGGGTATAAAATCTTGTTGTCTACAGACACTCGTTAGCTTGGCGACTAAACTACAGCCAATATGAAGAGATTGCAAACGTCTTGTAGTTCTAAAGAGTTGTGTTGTATTTTATGTTCTTATAACACTGTCTGTTTTTCATAGCCAAACTTGCTTTCTGTACCTTTATGACGAAAGGAATAAATTTAACACAATCAGTTCCTTTAAGCGATGACATCTCAGTTAGAAACGAATCCTAACATTTAATCATCATCATTATATCACCCGTTACCTGTCCACTACTGAGTATAAGCCTTCCCCATATGAGGGAGATTTGCCAGTAGTTGCCATGCTTGGCAGTCGGGTTGGACGCTGCTGACCTCTCGATCATTAAGTTTCCTTAGTCGACTGTGACGCTACGGTCCATTCTAGGCCAGGATCAAACGACGAGTAACATTGAATCTCCGGCCTAAATCTCTGAATGGTCAAAAAATTACTGTCACTTGCTTTTGGTACTTTGGAAGGCGTGTAAAGCCGTCATCCGGTGAGCTACGTAAGAGACCTTCGTGTATAATGAAGCCGACCTAAAATCTCTTTATACCAGAGTAACAACTTCACACTAGAAATATAATACAGTAGAACCCTTGTGGAAAACATTTTAATTTTTAAATACTTAGATTACTTAGATAATATTTTCGTATTGAATGAGTAATTATTATTTTACTACTAGAGTAATTTTTTACTCGACTTACAACCAATATATTTTCAACTTATTTATCTTCGAAACTTATGGATGTGTGATTTTAACATATTTTCCAATGTTCGTTTGTGTATGACGAAAGCAAAGGTTTGAACTTTTTACCATAGAAGTAATTTTTTACTTGTCAAAAATAACATCTGTATGATACCGTATAATTTTTTTTTTTTCAGTGGAGTATGCAGCTGAGTTCAAGACATATTTCAAACTTTAATTACATTTACTGCTTATCTAGTGCTTAGATAATTATTTTTATTATTAGTAGTAAGCCCAATATTCCTAAACCTTTACGCTATAATTAGTATTTTGTTCTAATAAAGTATATTAACTATCTTATCATTTTTTTTCTCGACATTTTATTAATCCCTACTTTATTAGATTATCAAATTTTACTTGTAGTGTACACATGACAAGAACTACAGATCACCATGCACGATCATGCGTATATCAATAATTATGTAATCAAAATAATTGGTCAAATTCAAATTCAAATTCAAAAATCATTTATTCATGTAGGACATTTTAGCCGCTTATGAAGGTCAAAATAGCCATCAGAGCTATTCTTCAAATACTCAGCAAATAGTCCGATCTGGAAAAACTAATGGTTGTAGGCAAGATAGAGGAAAAAGACCACGCGGACGACCGCCTAATCGATGGTCGGACCAAGTAACCGCCGTTACGGGACTGTCAATTGCAGCTGCCCTGCGAGAAGCTGAAGACCGTGCAAAATGGAATAACATCATAAGAGAAGCAACAGACACCTTTCAAGGGTACGACCTTCAGTAATGAAGAGGACGAAGAGAGAAAGAGAGAGTCAGTAAACCAATTCTTTTTAGCTTATCTACTTTGCAATTAACCATGTAATTAGTCTATTGTGGTTAGTCCAACTTAAATTGTTCCAGAAGGCTGTTAGGATTGCTCAAAGCGTCTGGAAAGTATTTGGATGTTAGATGATTCCGCGCCTGTTAATCGCCTACACTTGGGCACTAAAAGCAATATTATGAACTGAATAGACACTACTCCATAATGTCACAATGGAAATTAATTATTTCAATTACTACTAGCCAAAGATAAAAAAAAAAAAGTTTAATTAAAATACAAATATACAAGCTATATTCTCTAATTCATGCATTATCGATTGCGATTTGTCAAAAATAATGTTACTACATCGTACTATAGACTTACGTCTATAATATTACTATTCATAAGAAACCAATACACAATTAATGGCCCTGAATCAACTGTCTCTAATTTTTTTTTTGATGAGTGAAAATGATATGGTAACCCCACCTGGGCTAACGGGATACGCTGGCGGAGCACCAATGAAGGGTGATAGATGAGAATGAAGGCCAGTTAGCCCATCATGATGAATTCATCAGGAATTAACCATGATAGTTTCCAGGAAGAACCGTGAAGTGGTCTACCTAGTTAGGTATATTGCTAGCAATGGGATTCTCAGTCTCCATTAATAACAATCCCTTTCACCCCACTGTCTCTAATTTAAAAACTTTCATAAATATCAATTAAGGATAGTACCTACTTTATTAAAAAATATGTGTCTAGTTTTTATAGGGTCCATAAAGGCCAAGCAGTTGCTACAGTAAAGCTGATAATTAAAAAAATAGCATCGATTTTTTTTAATGGATTATAATAGAATAGTATCCTCATCTGCACTAATGGTATACGCTGGCGGGCCACCATTAAGGGATGGTAGATGAAAAAGACAGGTCATCGTGATCAATACACTTGTAATTCAATAAGATTGTTTCCAGGGAGACCACATGGAGGTTCTTTTTTTTAATGGGTGATAATGGTATGTTAACCCCGTCTGCGCTATCGGTATACAATGGTGGGGCACCAGTGATAGATGACTAATGAGGATGAAAGCAGGTCAGTTAGCCCATCCTGACGAATTCAACTAGAATTAGCCACGATGATTTCCAGGGGGAACCACGTGGAGGTCAAACTGACAGGGTATATTGCTAGTAATGGAGCTATTTGACCCCATTACTAACAATCCCTTTCCCCCCACCACATGGAAGTTGACTCCTCCGACATCACAGAATTTACCCTTTGTAATACTTTGACATTGACAGTTGCTTGTAGACAATGTATAACTGGACGATTTTTCTTGCATCCCTAACTCAGGCGCACTCTACTGTTCTAGCTCATTAACTCAAAATCACACCGTAACGCACAGGATAACATGTATCACTATACTTTATATTTTGCTATGCCTCACAAAATGGGCGACGAAAAAAAAAACTGCTTTATTGTAACCGTCTGCATAGTTTTTTTTTTTTTTTTTTTTTTTTTACAACGGGGCAAACGAGCATGCGGCTCACCTGATGGTAAGTGACTACCGCCGCCCATGATCACCCACAACACCAGCGGCATTGCAGGTGTGCTGCCGTTTTTTAAAAAAATATACTCTTTTCTTGAAGGTTATGTTGTCGTATCGGTTCGAAATACTGCTGCTGGAAGTTGATTCCAAAGAATGGTTGTGCGTGGAAGAAAGTGCCTTGAAAAACGCACGGTGGAAGACCGCCACTCGTCCAGATGATTGGGATGAAACTTTAGTTTGTGGCGGGTTGTACGGTGGTGAAAATCAGCAGCAGGTATCAATCCGAACAATTCCTCAGAACACTCCCCATGATAAATTCGGTAGAAGATGCACAGAGACGCAACATCTCTGCGCAGTTTCAATGGGTCAAGTCGGACAGTAAGGCGTTGACTATCGATAATTCGAGCCGCCCGACTTTGAATGCGGTCTAACGGAAGGAGTTGGTACTGTGGCGCTCCTGCCCACAGGTGAGAACAGTATTCCATATGCGGCCTGACTTGGGCTTTATATAATTTCAGGCGGTGTTCTGGCATGAAATATCGTCTCACCCTATTGAGCACTCCTAACTTTTTGGAAGCTATCTTAGCCTTCTCCTCCAGATGACCGCAAAACTGGACGTCGCAAGATATATCAACGCCCAGAATTCCTAGACTTGACTTTTTATCAAGGGAAATGCCCTGAAAGTGAGGAGATACGACAAACGGCGTCTTTTTTGCGGTAAACGCGCAGACTTGTGTCTTTTTGGGGTTAAATTGGACAAGATTTTGTTCACCCCAGATCGAAACTTGATGGAGTGAAGTTTCGATTTCAGACACAAGTCTATTCCGGCACTCATCGGTATGTGCCCGCGAGATCTTTGCATGACCGGTATATAATGTATCTCCTGTACTGTCGTCCGCATAGCAATGAATATTACTTATCTGTAACATATCATTGATATGCAGAAGAAACAGAGTCGGAGATAGTACACAGCCTTGCGGGACACCAGCATTCAAAGGTTTTAAATCAGAGCATGCACCGTCGACTACGACCTTAATGCTACGTTCCTTGAGAAAACTGGCGACCCAAATGCACAGTCTCGCAGGCAACCCAAATGAAGGTAGCTTTGAAAGCAGCGCTCTATGCCACACCCGATCAAAGGCCTTCGCAATATCCAGACTAACTGCTAAGGCCTCTCCTTACTCTCGATTGCCACTGCCCATCGGTGTGTTAAGTAAGCTAAAAGATCACCGGCCGAACGTCCCTGTCGAAAGCCATACTGGCGATCACAGATCAGCCGGTGCTCTTCTAGGTACCGGAGCAGTTGACGGTTAATGATGGATTCCATAACCTTCGAGAATAAGGAAGTGATAGCTATGGGCCTATAGTTAGCTGGATCTGAGCGATATCACTTTTTAGGGATCGGATGCACCAGAGCAGTCTTCCAAAACTTTGGGACTATGCCCGATGAGTAGCTAAGCCGAAAAAGACGCGTAAGAACCGGAGCCAACTCTGGTGCGCACGTCCTAAGCACAATTGGAGGAATACCATCAGGCCCACTCGACTTATGGATTTCGAGAGAGAAAAGTGCTCTACGCACTGAGCTATGCGTGAATTTAATGTCAGATAGAGCTCCTACAACACGTGATGGTCGGTGGTGGTTTCTCCCCGTCATCCATATGTCGAGTTTGACGCAAAGATGGATCCAAGAAGATCGGCCTTTTCTTTAGCGTTCTGGGCCAACGAGTCATCCTCCCTGCGCAAAGGTGGAAAAGATGACTTACAGAAATTCCCTTGTGCAGCTTTGGCAAGAGACCAGAAAGCTCGAGTCCCAGAGGGCAAACTAGCCAGTCTCTTGCCAATTCTACTAATATGCTCTGACTTCGCTGTGGCTATAACTCTTTATATAAAGACCTAGAGGCAGAGTTATACTTATTTTTAAGAGCACTGGTATATATACATCTCATACGCCACACCTTTACACACATTAGGAAGCACTCCTGTTTCAGACGAGATGCTGTTCTACAGGAGGCTCCATACCAGGGCTGGGATTTCCCGCCGACGGGCACCACAGAGTTAGGAATAAATAATTCCATTCCCTGAAGCACCACATCAGCAATGGAATCGGCAATGGCGTCGGGATCATCCAGTGTGACAGCAAACCTGCCTCCATGGGTAAGATGCGAAAAAATCCGCATCTCATCCCAATCTGCCGACCTGTAGTGCCAAATGCGACGTCTACCCGTAGAACGAGGTGGAGTCGGACTCGTAAGAGGCACTTCGCTCCGCACCAAACAGTGATCCGACGATCCAAGCTGGGCTTCGACGGAGATCATATAGTTGTCTGGGTGGGTGGTCAGCAGAAGGTCCAGCAGTGAAGGTGAATGGTCCAACACATCAGGGATTCGCGTAGGCGAGGAAACAAGCTGTGTCAGACCATAAGCCAAAGCAAAGTCATGAACAGATCTTCCCGCATAGTCGGTTGTACGCGAACCAAGCCATTCGGCATGGTGGGCATTAAAGTCGCCAACAATCACGACTTCAGCGGAAGGAATCTGCTCAAGCAGGGAATCTGTAGCCATTTGGACGTGCTCAATTAGTTGGTCGGTTTCAGTGTTACCGCTGTGGGACCTGTATAGGCACGCATAGATGCGGGGAAGGTCATTGCAATCTACGCGCAGCCATAGAATGGACAGGTCCGTACCTTCAAGAGTCCCAAGACGTCGACAGCAGATATCCTCTCTGACATACGCACATACACCGGCACGCGAAACAAAACAATGTTCAAGCTTATACCCCGGGTAGGTCAGGTATGATGTTTCGTTAGGAGGGGATATCTGTGTCTCCGTGAGGAAGAGCAATGCCGGCCGCGCCGTTTCTAGGTGGTGGTGGACAGCGTTCAGGTTTGAATGAATTCCCCTAATATTACAGAGGCTCACATTGAGCAAAGGGGATGCCGCAGAAGTCTTGCTCTGTTTGCCCTTGGTCCCATAGAATGACGAGAATTTATTAATAAAGAGAATAATAAAGGGCAAAGCCCGAGCGTGGTTGCTCGAGGGAGGATTCTCCAGCAACATGGCTGCTGGTACCTCCCTGGGAAACGTTATTTTTTTTAAATTCCACTGCCATGGTATTGAAAGATGGGGGCACGGAGTTGGGGGAGGATTTTAGGATAAGGAAGGGGATGGGTATAGGATGGGCCTCCGAACTCCCTCAAAACCATACGGAATGTGGTCGCATAAAAGTGCGGCCACTTGCGTCTGTATTCTGTGAGGGTGTGGTACTTCCCCGGTCGAGCCGGCCCATTCATGCTGCAATACCATATGGTATTACAGCGTGGCTCTACCACCTATTACACTATATAGTTTACAAATATTTTCGCAGAATTGCGCAATGTTTTGTTACCCTCATGGATTTAGTATAACGTACTACATAATTTAAAGTTACCCATGTCTAGTCTTTGTCATAGTCTCTGTGATCTGTGATGCTTGTCATCTGTCAAAGTCATTGAATTATTTGTCATTCTAAAATGTGCGAACTTTTCTATTTTATTTATAAAAACAAATCTAAATAAATGTTATTTTTTTTACCTATTTTATAGAAATTTTCAATGTTTATTATATTGTGGGTAATATAATGATCTTCGTTCATGTGAAAAATGCAAAGTAAGACAGTTATCATTTTAAATTAAAATTATTTTTTTATTCTGTCTAAATATACACTAACTTGTTTATGTTCAATCTAAATTAAAACTATTATATTTTGTTTTATTTTAAAAACTTTAATTATATTAAAAATACACAAAAACTGATTACAGGTAATACAAGTCACTTCCGTTCACCAATTATTCCAACAGCTTCCACTTGCGAGGATATGACAGACAGTGCATTTTTATTTGTCGCTAACTTACCCCCAGATTGGAACCATAATAAGATTAAATTGTTTGTTATTGAAACATGCAAATCTCCTGTGAGTACCATCAACGAAATTTATAAATTGAGTGTTAAAACATTATTTATATGATAGGAAAAATAAACAAGTATGTGTTGACTGCTTATTAATCATCATATCAGTCATTAACTGTCTTTTACTGAACATAACTTTGATACAATTCAAAGTCATTGGTGATATCTTAAGAGAGATGCTGCTGCCCGTCTCTCACCCTCGCTTAGTTGCCTCTTATGACACCCGTGGGAAAGAAAGTTGTAGCCTATTCTATACGGGGAGCACACGGGAAACTTAATAATTAATATTTAAGTATTAAGCAGTCAATTAAATTGTGGTAATTTTTAAGCAACTACCAAAGAAAGGAAGTTGTTAATTCATTTGAATTTTATTGCCAATATGTTACATGATTACATTGCAAATTCTGAACCGATTTTAAGAATTCTTTTTACAATCAACAGGGTTTCCCCTTGTCTGATTTTATTTTATAACAATTGAAACTGTGATTTGTTCTGTCCACAAAGTGGTACAAACTATTACAATAAAAAACTTGTGAATACAAAAAATTGTATTCACAAGTTATTTTAAAAATTAATAATAATAATATAGCCTTTATTTCCTTATCCTTATTGTACAATAAATATTGAGTTTACTATTATTAAAGCTATTTATGTAAATTACTTTGATATTGAATGTTAACACTTTGATTGTTAAAATTTAAAAAGGTAACAAATTATCCTTTTTTTTATTTTGTCAGTTAGGAAACCCTTTTTGAGGTTAATATTGCATCCTCTAGTTTGTTCCGCTCCTTTTTTTTTATACAACTTAGAATAGCAAACAAGCTGACAGCCCACTTGATGGAAAGTGGTAACCGTCACCTATAGACATAAGCAGTACTATGGACATAACAGAGTATACTGTTTCGCCCATGATACCCCCCATGTTGCCATTCCTGAGGACTCAGATGTTATTCCTCTGTACCCAGTAAATTCACGCCATATCCCACCCTTCAAACCGAAACACAGACATGCCAACAGAACTGCTTCATGGTAGAAACACAAATGGGACAGAGGTACCCAAGCAATCCACTTTTGTACAGTCTCCCTCTGGTGAGAGAGATTCCCTACCAACCCTGTGTTCATGTGATACAATTTTTCCTGATATCTTCTTAATATCATCTATCTATTGATCTTAGGTTTCTGTAGTTTCCTATGGCCACATAGCTCTTTAAAATGAATGATTTTAAAAACAATTGAAATTAAATAGATGTTTAATCATATTTCAGACAATTGGGCAATCATTACAATATGTGACAATTTTAAAAGATGTAAAAAATAAATCAAAAGGAGAGTGCTTATTGACATTTAAAAGTCAAAATGTATGTCAAATGGCTATGAAATTATTGAGAGGCGCCAAATGTGAAAACAAAAAGATCATAGTAATGCAGGATTCTGGTAAGTAAACATTTCATAAGTAGTATGTATATAGAACTAATGATATCTATGTATTTGTTAGAGAAAACAATTTTTTTTTAATGAATGATAATGGAATAGTAACCCCACCTGCACTAATGCTATACATTGGCAGGGCACTGGTGAGGGATAATAGGTGAGGATGAAAAGGCAGGTCCGATTTAAACGAAAAACAATTAGCCCATTGATGGAAATACGTAGAATACAGCATGATGTTTCCAGAGGAGATTTTATGCAGTTCAACCTGACAGAGTATATTGCTAGCAATGGACTGGCAATCGGCATTACTACCAATCCCTCCCCCATTAGGGTATGGCAACCCCACACATGCTAATATGGTAGGATGCTGGGGCACCAGTGAGTGATAATATATATAATATAATTAGATTTATGTTTTTCCATTGTTTTTGCCTACCCTAATGGGAAACAGGTGTAACAGATATGTATGTATGTATGTATTTATGTTTCTTGAATTGATGATTGATGTTGTATTTAATGGGTTTGGTGAGGGGTTTCGTAATATTTGTATGCCCAATAATGGCAAAACATAGTGATCTTAATTTTGTATATTATACCATGTAATGTAATTAACCTATGTTTGTGCAAATAAATAATTGACTTAACTTGAGTAGATGGGATAGAAAAGGCAGGTCAATTAGTTTACTGTGATGAATACACCTAAATTTCAATTAATATAATACCATAGGGAGGAAGGGATAGTTAGTAATGCTGATTACCAGTTCCATTCCATATATCCTCAGGTCGACTTCCACATAGTCCCTCCTGAAAACCACTGTGCTGAATTCCAGGTGTATATATCAAAATGGGCTAACAGACCTGCCAGCATAGGCAGCTAGCCGAAGCTTACTAAAATATTACAATATCATTGATTAATAAAACCTTTGTAATACCACTGGACCATGTTGCATTTACATTTATATTTATTTTCCTTCTGTGTAATAATAATAATAATTATGTTGGATTTGATTTTTGTAGGTCATCTATTTGAACATTTTGAAAAATTTTGTAAAAACAAAAATAAAAATTCATCGTGAGTATTTCAATTTTCTTTAATTTGAACTAATTTAATAATGAGGAATTTTTTTTATTTTTTATTTGTAATGGATTAGTCAAAAACTATTGAACTATTTTTAAAAAATCTTTCATCTATATATTTTATTTAGACAAAGAAATCAGAGATCCCTACAACATCTACCCTTGCAAAGGGAAGTTTCTAGTATACTTATTTTTTTTTTTTAATATACTTCAATTTAATAGCATATATTTTTGTTGCATCTATAAATTTTGGATATTCCTCCCAAGATCTGGATATCCTGTTAAATATTACTTTATCTCCTTTGAAATATCAGTAACTGTGAAGTTACCATTTGTATAAGCATTCATACAGCATTGTGTATGGGTTTGGTGCAACTTTGTATTAGACTTGAGGCATGTATACAGGGATTCAATAATCACTTACCAATTTACAAACTCACCCTCTTATTCATAAAAACGTCAAACCTTTCATAAATCTATTTTAGTTATTAAACCGTTTTGTATCTTTCTTTTATTTTAAATTCCCAATTTAAAAGAAAGTTACAAAACATTGTAATAATTAAAATAGATTTATATAAGTTTTTAGATTTTATGAACTAGGGTATAGTTTAGTTACCATAGTGTGGGGTTCTTCAAAAAGGGTATATTAAGTTTTCTTCAAGGTCAGCGACATAGATGTGAAATCCCTAGTAGTACAGACGTTTATAGGCGAATGTGACTTGTTTGCACCTTTGTGTTAAAAAAAATATTATATCAATATGATATCTGATATTATTTTTACTCAATCACTAATAACAATTAAAAAAAAAGTAAGTAAAACTTACTAGGATTAATGACGAGACTATATCCATTACAAATTTTTTATCATTACATATTTTTATTGATTAAAAATGAACTGTTTATAAATTCTATTTATTTTATATAATATTTGTATGTATATTTTATATTATATTTAATTATAGTCTATTTCTTTCACAGAGCAAAAAATACACTAATCAACGAGACAAAATCTGTTGATCAAGTTGATCAGCACCAGACATATGGACTTAGTAAAGATTTTTTGAAATATCTCAATATATCGCTGCCATTATTTAAAAGAATATTTGTTGGAAATGTAAGTAATAAATGCACAAGTCACAACGTAACAAAATTAAAAAAATATATATATATAAGGTAAAATAAATATCAATATTTATGTATCAGTAAATATAGCAAATTATTACAGTAAATAATCAATTGAGTAAGATTTCTTACAATCATATATTTAATACTATTCTAGGCTAAAGAGGGCGAGGAATAGGCAGCAGCGTCCCTCTTACCCCTTAAAAGCCAATTCCTGATGAATTCATCATGATAGGCTAACTGGCCTGTTTTTCATTCTCATCTGTCACTCTTCACTGGTGCTCCGCCAGCGTATCCCGTTAGCGCAGGCGGAGTTACCATTTCATTTTCATCCAACAAAAAAAAAACCCTTAAAAGCCTGATTTTTTAAATCAAATTAAAAAATATATAAGTGTACCCTTTACTGTGTTTATTAATGGGGAAAAATTATATTAAAATCAAAACGATTTTTTTTATATACTCGAATTTATTTTGAAAAAAAAAAAATATTTGGTAACATGTATGTTTGCCATTCTAAGTTGTATAAAAACAAAAAAAAAAGATTGGCAAACAAGCTGACGGCCCACTTGATGGAAAGTGGTAACCGTCGCCTATACACATGAGCAGTACCATGGACATAACAGAGTATAATGTTTCGCCCATGATACCCCCCATGCGTTGCCATTCCTGAGGACTCAGATGTTATTCCTCTGTACCCTGTGAATTCACGCCATATCTCACCCTTCAAACCGAAACACAGCCAAACACTTCACCATTCACTTCCATATCGATTGTATATCTATTTTCGAATATGTTGAAAATATGTTATCCAATATTATTTTTTGAATAACAGACTTTTAACATATTTGTTATTGAACTAATATATAGATATTATAACTGAAACATATATTGCTATATATAATACTAGCTTTCGCCCGCGGCTTCGCCCGCATGGATCTTGGTTATCGCAATATGCCATTTTTGGAAATAACTCGATAGATTTATTTGGATAAGGATTACACACCCCCTAATACTTAGAAAGACCAACTTACTCTTTCTTCTCTGTTTAACATTTTTTAGTTACCGCTAGATATAGATGAAAAGAAATTACGCCAACTGTTCGGATACGCTGGACATATCTTTGGCGTGATACTCCTGAAATGTGAAGATAGAACGAAAATGTTTGCCAAGATCGAGTATGATCATCCAGTAGAAGCTGTACAGGTATGAATTATGTTTATAACTAGCCGATCTCTCGTCTTGGTCCGCGTAACCGACAAAAAAACCCATAATCTGCTCCTTACTAAATAGTATGTGTTTTATTAATCAAGAAACAGAAAATAAAGCCTTCCAGAAATCTATTTTAACTATTAGTCAAGCTCGCGTTTGTATCATAGCCGCTCATGATTAAGGGTCCCGAATTGATCCCAAAACTAATCGAGCTTTCTCAATCTAATTACACAGAAGTTAACCCGGTAGTTATTACATTAAAAAATATTACGCTTTTTTGTCACTTTTAAATTGGGAGTTAACTATAAGTTAGAACACGTTTTTACTACTAATTTCCACATGTCTGTGGACTTGTGTATGACATTTTTTCAATGTGTTTATGTTGCAATGTGTTTATGTTAAAAGCTTTTGAGTCAAAATAAGTATAATAACTAACTTTGTCTATTTACATATATTATATATAGAAAGTAAATATTATATACAGTCAAAAGTAAGAGGCTATTGACTAACAAAATCAGTCTAAAGAACTTTACAATTTAATTAACCTACTTGAAAAAAAATAATGATGTTGATAAGTGGCTATGAGATGAATATGTACAATATTTATTTACAGACGCCACAACCGTATGCTTTAGTCAATAATACTTTTGACCAAAATAACAGTTAAAAGTACCTAACCTAACCGCAAATTTGCAGTCAAAAGTAGTATAATAACCAATAATCTTCAGTCAAAACCACTTTTGACCAACCTGTTCAGTAGAAAGTACTTTTGACTGATTTTGCTAGTCAATAATACTTTTGACTGGTTAAGAATTTTGACTACATCTACATAAAATAAACTCGCACCTACGCTATCGGTATACACTGACAAGGTACTACTAGTTAAGGATGATAGGTGAAAATTAGAAGATCAGCCAACCATCATGACAAATTTAACAATACCTACCTATGATGGTCGGGGGGGGAAAAGGGATTGTTAGTGATGGAGACTGAGAATCCCATTGCTAGCAATATACCCAACCAGGTCGACTTCCTCACGATTCCCCCTGGAAACTATCATGGTTGATTCCTGATGAATTCATCATGATGGGCTAACTGGCCTGTTTTCATCCTCATCTATCACCCTTCACTGGTGCTCCGCCAGCGTATCCCGTTAGTGCAGGCGGGGTTACCATACCATTTTCAACTATAAAAAAAAAACTATGATGGTCTCCCCAAAACTAATACATACTGATCCCAATATATGTCCGTGTATCTGTACTCAATCTCATCTTGTATTTGTTATAGGCGATATCAATGTTCCATGGACATCAATTTATGAATAAAACATTAGTTGTTAAAATGGAAAACAATCCAAATGCGCAATTTAAATCAGTGGGTCCTGGTTTAGGACCCAATGGACAACCGTTAAGGGGTATTAGGTATGCCGTAGAGTTTGAGCCCATCAAGCAACTTTTCCTACAGGAACTTGCTAAATTTAAATCTCAAGAGGAAAATGTGAACAGCATGACCGTAAATCAAGTGATCCCACAAGACACCATGGGTATCATGAACAACATGATGAACTTCCAGAACCCTATGGGCCTATTTAATGTTAAAGCCTTCAACCCGCTCAGTCAGCAGAGTTGGTACGGCCTCAGCAATATGATGAACAGTCAAGGGACACAGAACTTGCAGGTCTTGCAAGGGTTGCTGCAGCAAAGTATGGGCAACGATCTATCTGGGTTACATGTTCAAAATATGCCCAACACAGCTCAAAATCTTTTGGGCAACATATCTCAGAATCAATGGGCCAATTTGCCTCAAAATCAGTTTACCAACGTGGCTCAGAGTAGTTTGGAAACTACAGATAGAGATCAGTTTGATAACACGGATTCGTGTACAGAAAAAAAGCTTAAAAGAAAAATTTATAGTGATTTTTTAGATGACCGTCACTATTATGAGAAATTTTATGACAAATTTGATATAGAGGGTCCCAGTTGTAGTAAATCGAAGATCATTAAAGGTTTGTTTTTATAGATATTCTTAAGACATTTAATAAATTCATATTTAATGCATGTTACATAAATATTTGTTACAGTAATTAGTGCAAAGGGAATTCTTCTCTAGGTAATCTGTCCGGCTCTAGAGTAAAGACACATTGGTATGCGACTCCAGCCTTCCTAATCACTTCGATTTCTGACCAATATCCTCTTCATAACTGTAGTGTCTCCCTTTCCCTTTTCCCCATAAAAACTTCATTACTTTTTTCTCTTACTCATTCCCAACGTCTCTTTCTTTTTCCTTGATCCTTTTTCTATATCGTAGTTGGCGAACATTACTCATAAATGCATTCTTAAAAAAGGTTGAAGTTAAGCAGGCAGCTCTTGTGAAGCCAAAAGCTAAAATCTTGAGTAATATTGATAAAAACATTACGCCGACCCCAAATAAATTGGAATAAAGGCAGATAGAAAATGATCATGATTTATTATTGTTAATTATTATTATTAAATTTTAGGAGACAAGTAATAACATACGATATATAGTCATACGATGGTAAAATATAGCACTCTAAATACCTATTCTACAACAGTGGATCTCAACCGATGGTTTCTGGACCACCGATGGTCCCTAGAAGCACCCGAATTGGTTCACGGAGACACAGAGAGCCTGAATCACGAAAATTTTCTAGCTTTTTTTTTACTTTTTGACTACGTAATAACATGACCTGGCCTTCATCATCATCGTATCAGCCTTTAACTGTCCACTGCTGAACATACGCCTACCCCTTGGGGGTTTTGCCATGCTTGACAGGCGGATTGGCAACCGCAGTTAGGCTTTGGAGGTGGCTTAAGAGGAACGCTGCTGCCCACCCCTTGCCCTCTCTTAGTCACGACACCTATTGGAAAGGAAGGAGTGGCCTATTCTATGCCGGGACCGTCATAGGCCTTTATACTTGATATTAAACAATTTATATAAAAATACTTATTTTCAGAATCAGACTCGAGGTATCGGCGTAGTGAAACACCAGCAAGTGACGTTTCTGATAGAGACGCTATGACGACATCGGACATGTTAATTTTCACCAATGTAAGTATTTTATTGTTAAAAGTTACATAATCTGTATATTTTAATATAAGAACACAGCATTAACTTACATGTATTTTAATCGAGAATTTCCAACTAGTTTCGGGACCCTCCAAGATACTGTGTCTAAGCGGCTGAGACATGTCGTCTGGCTCACGCTTTTGACAGGACCGCTCATGATTAATTGCACGCAATGGTCCCAAAACCAGTCGAGCATTCTCTACCAAAATACGCGTATGTTAAAATATATGTTGTAGTAAATAGATTGTAGATAGATGTGATAGCTGTAATGCTACCAATATATCTATAAAATGCCAAAACAGGAACCAAATACCATATTGGTATAGTAATTTTTTTTAAACATAGCATAACATAGTTACTGAACGCCCACGAGCATGGCAACATGTTCCCGTGTGGCCCTAGCATAGAATAGGCCCTTACTTTCCCATTAATGTCGTCAGAAACAACTAAGGAAGCTTAAAGTCTATATGAAATAGAATAAAGAGAATCGACAAAGAATAATATATTTTATGTAACAATAAACAACTATATTAGAACATTTAGTTACCATAGCGACCTAAACACACATATAAAAACTACACTGATTTAAGATTATTTTAGCTTCCACCAAGTGTAACCACAAAAGCGCTGTCGAACAAAATGAGCGAAGTGGGCGAAGTGAAGTTTGCGGAGATGACCGGACAGAACAAAGCCATCGTGAGGTTCACTAACGCCCGCGACGCAGAACGCTGTGTCAGTATCCTTTTACATATTTCCATAACGTAATCTTAGGAAGCATGAAATCTCATGTGTGATTAGCGACGGAACTTCGAATCTCGATATATCTATCTCCCTGTCTTATCTAGTCTATACAGAGAGAGAGAAATTTAACTGGCCGTGTCTTTATTCGATGCATTTATTCATTATAAAAGGCCTAACATTTTTTGTCATTTTTCACCACATATGAGAATAATGCTAAACTACCCTTAAAACTTATATATTACTCCCTTAAAAACAGATCATCTTGATGATTCATAATGATTTCGGTAACATCCTGTATTTAAACTTCAGTATCTGGTTATAAGAGAACTCAACTACCAAACTAATTTTACAAATAACTTCCTTTAACTCCCACCTCAGGACTATTCGATCGTTCTAAAGTGGATGGGCAGATAATTAACGTGAAATTCCTATAAGTAATGGTAAGTGAACATTTCAGATGCACCGCTGTGGGGTGAGTAAACGAAAAGTCTGTAACATTTGTTCCTTTTAATTTCCAGGCAATAAAGCAGTTTATATTTATTGAAGAGTCATTATTATATAATGAAGAAATATTTTCTTTTCTTATTATATTTATATAAATAACCAGAAACACTACTGACGCGACTGCCTCAATGAGTTTGACATATGGTGGATTAGAAAAAGTTAAAACTGATACACAAATTAAATTGACTTACTTTTTATCCTCATTATAATATATTCAACAATTAAGCTACACAGATCGACATCGTTAATGTTTTCTCGATGTATCTAGCCTATATTAATGCTGTATGCATTCCAGATCAAAATATAGTAGGTGTGTATTGTACATAATATTTCACTGAGCATCTGCTAAGGAATTCGAGTTATCGATTTTTTTTTCTTATAGATACTGTTGGTTTTCATTTATATTTCCAGCGATAGTTTGATGCCAAATTAAAGATAATTTTCGTCATAATAGTTGAAGTATGTAGGTGCTAAGTATGCGTTTGTTTTATTTACAAATAACATTAAAAAAAAACTTTGTTTATAGTTCCATTATAATACTATCTTATAACTCTAAAACAATCTTAGTGCCACACAAGGCATGACGGCTGTGTGTTAAAAATGTATATAACTGTGTAAAAAATTCCCTTGCTGCATCTCATGGAGGGTTTTTAAATAATCTGTATTTAAAAAAGAACAATAAAAAGTAAATGTATGTCAGTAAATTTATAATGATATCCCCTTATATGTATCAAGTAATCCCTTTTTATTTCTACTCTGTATTCTCCACCATAGACTTCACATATGACATTATTCTCCACCATAGACTTCACATATTGCATTATATATTATAATTCCAATTTTATTACCATATTTAAAAGTTTCCCGGCACTATAAAAAAGGTGCTTATATACTTTCACATATATTTTTGCGCATAGCTTATATAGCATATGTTCCACTCGCATTCTGGGGTAGGCATAACCCACCAACCCATTAAATATATTTATGCTCTCATATCCTTCATTATCCATAAGTTACTTAACTATACATTTATAACCATTTCATTATGCCAGGATGATGTGTTTTCAAAACGATGAAATTGCGAAATGATAAATTTCTAAACTGACGACTTCTAAGAACGACAATATTGCGGTGACGAATTCTCTAAACCCCTATATTGCAGAATGACGACTTCTCAGCACGACTACGTTACTAAATGACGACTTCTTAAAACGACAATATTGCAGTATAACGACTTCTCTGAACGACTATGTTGCAGAATGGCGACTTCTCAGAATGACAAAATTGCAGAATGACGACTTCTCTGAACGACTATGTTGCAGAATGGCGACTTCTCAGAACGACATAATTGCAAAATGACGACTTCTCTGAACGACTATGTTGCAGAATGGCGGCCTCTCAGAACAACAAAATTGCAGAATGACGTTTCTCAACTAGAAAAAATAATTGCAGAATGGAGATGTCAATGTTGACGACAATATTGCAGAATGACTACTTCTTAAAACAACAATATGGTAGAAAAATAAGATGACGGATTGGCATGACGTAGAATGTCGAGACTCGATATGTATCGATATTGAGCAACAGCCCCCTTAAACAAGTGATATACGACTATATCGATAGGTATTTTATAATTTCCTTATACTTGAGTTAAAACGAGACAACAGCAACGACAGACGTCTTTACCACTCGTGCTGTATCGAAAATATATCTACCGATTGATTTTAAATTCTGCATTCAATTTATTCGATAACACCATTACATTGTGTTGAATATGATAAATTTTAAGTCCCCCTTAGGGGGATAAGTACAAAATTAGATATATACAGCAATTTAACAATATTACATATATTCATACACTACTTGCTTAGACGACAAATTATTTGTTTTGGCTAAGCATTCGCCTTCTTTCATAATTTACTTTTCTCCGATACTGGATATTTGCAGATAGTTATGTAGAGGACGGGAAATCCTAAACCTAACATTTAGGTTGTTTTACTAATTTACTAGTAGTATATTTCCTTCCAGCGTTTTTCATTTTTTCCGGAATTAGTTGTAATTGACTTTTATGATGGATCATTGCGGTAAGTTTGTTTGTGGTCCCTTGTTTTGATCCCTTCTTAGACAGGTGGCAAACGAATCCATCGATGGAATGATCGCTAGCGAGCCTATCAGAAAGGACAACAGAGCACCTAGCGCATTATCTCATGGAGTCGCTAGCGTTAACGGCAACAAACAACACACTAAACGATTACTTGAATGACAAACGCCGTGCAGGCGTTAGTTGATCATGCATTGAATTGATTGAATCGATTGAATTTCTTGCGGTCTCTTCTCAGCAGATAACAACTTCTCGAACACTGCAGTAGATTTAAAAAAATTGCGATCTAAAAGTGCTTGTAAACAAGTATATTTGAATAATATCATGAAACTTTAATTCGGTTAACTGAACGGTGGCGTTGAATAAATAATTTATATTTTCACTGTAAGGAAAACCAGATCGACTTATATGTATTTTTTCGAGTCACCATATCATACAGCCGTTAACTGTCGACTACTGCACATAGGCCTCCCTCATAAGGGGGATCTTGCCACTACTTGCCAGGCTTGGCAGGCAGGTTGATAAAATAAAAATAAATAATAACTCTTAGTAAATATCAAGAATTCAAGTTGAAAAGATGTTGTATTTTTCCTCAGTGGCAATCAGTCGTTCTTTTATTAGTGTCAAGTACAAGAAACCTCGATTAAATTTGTATTGGCAATACAAAAAATTCGTTATGTAGTTTTTTATATTGGTAACACATTTTCTCTATTCTGTGATGGCGTCCATCTTATTTTTGTTGACTGGATTTACTTAATATTCAAAAAATTAAGTACTGCAAAAATCATTACTTTCCAACGAGACTTGCCTACGCTAACTGACGTGACTCACAATGACAATTTCTTCAATACATTCATTTTAAATATGTTGACGCATATATTTTTAGATAATATTTTTAAATAATATATAATTAAAAGGAATGCTATTTACCTAGTTTTACCACAAATATATATTTTATAATTATTAACACTTTCGTATTGTACCGTGTTTATAGGTATAAATATTTCTCCTAATCCGCCTTTATTTGTCGATCCAGAACATAAGTAATATAAAAGGATTTATTTTTATTTCAGTGGAGTATGCAGCTGAATTCAAGAGTCGATTTTAATTTTAAATCCTGGCTAATTTATAGCTATTTATTTATTCTAGTTTTAGTGTTAAGTCAGTATTCAATCATATAATTTTATTTCAATAAAATGTGTTTGCATACTTTTTTTTTTTTTTATTAAATGAAAATAAAAATAAATAGCAATGGGCATATTTTTTATCATATTTATATGGAAATAAAATAGGCCGTGGTCCCACCATAGGATAGGCCACCCCTTCCTATCCCGTGGGTGTCGATTTAGAAATAGCGAGTGATGGGCAGCAGCGTCCCTCTTAGAACATCTGTAAAGCCTAACTGCGGTTGACACTCCGCCTGCCAAGCGTGGCAGCTACCAGCAACCCCAAAGGGGAGACTTATGTTCAGCAGTAGAGAGTTAGAGGTTGATATGATAAAAATGAAAAAAAATAGTGACCCACCGCTTGCACTATTGATGTACACTGGTGGGGCACCAGTGAGGATGAAGTAGGTCTGTTGGCCCATTGTGACTAATTCAGCAATTACCAATTGGATTGTTTGCCACTCTAAGTTGTATAAAAAAAATATTAAGGATAATAGTAACACAAAATTGTGGTAAGTCATTTATTAACCCTTAAATGTCTATTCTCTCATCATCTTTTCCTTTTGGCGTGCAAGCTTCTTTTTGGAGAGTTTCTTTTTAGCGGGCGCGTCGTCGGCAGGCGCCGCGCGAGCGACTGCATCCTCGCGTTCACTCAGGCAAACTTCGATGTGGCACGGAGACGACATGTAAGGGTTGATACGACCGTGAGCACGGTAAGTACGCCGGCGCAGGCACGGAGCGCGGTTTACCTGAACAACAATCATTACATATTATATTTTACTACATGTAATATACGACCTAGTACTACAGTGATCGTTTATGCGAGCTTCGCAAAGCAAGTGTGACAAGTGACGCAAAGCGCTAAACGCCCCCTGAAGAAGACTTCCGAATGAAGTCGAAACAATTGCCGGAAATGGCAAAAATACAGTGAGTCTATTAATCTCCTGTATTTATGTAGACGATTCTAATGATTTAAATTTTATATTGGCTCTGAATAAATTTACTAAAATTACCTAAGAAAGAAAAGAACTAGCCTAAACCTACACACAACAAAAAGACCAGTGGTAAGTACATTGTTTTATTCTACAAAGAATGTTAAGCTTTCGGATGTTTTCTCTCATACCTAACCTTAGAAACCGGGGAGAAAGGGATTGTTAGTAATGGGGTCAAATAGCCCCATTACTAGCAATATACCCTGTCAGGTCGACCTCCACGTGGTTCCCTCTGGAAATTATCGCAGCTAATTCTAGTTGAATTCGTCAGGAGCCCATCCTGACCTGACCTGCTTTCATCCTCATTAGTTATCTATCACTAGAGCCCCGCCATTGTATACCGATAGCGCAGACAGGGCTACCATACCATTATCACCCATTAAAAAAAAAGCCTCAGGAACCTTAACTGAACTTGATAACTTTAAAATATATTTAGATAAATATACATATGTAAATCATATTTAAGGAAATATGTTGCATTAAGGGATACAAAAAGAAAAGATAGCTTTTCTTCTATAGTTAATATACCATGATTGCTACTTATGTATGCCTTTTGAAAACAGTTTGTACATAACACGCAACATACTGTCAAGCAAAAAAAGGCAATTACTCCATTAAATATAATCATTATTTCAATCTATTCACCCTAAATCTCATGTATATATAACCACATACATGCCTACCACTGCATTACGAAAATTGTTCTATAGAAATTCATCATTTTCACAGAATTTAAACCATAGGGGCATACTTGCAAAAATGTGAATTTGACGTAAATATACAATTACTATTTTGTATAATATTTAGCTTAAAATTATGCATTCTACAAAATAAAGAAAATAGCTACATAAAAATTTGCTTTAAATTTGATCTATTGCAAAAAATTATACTTTTCTCCTGAATAGATTTATATGTAAACCTTATACTTTAAAGCCTGCCACTTAAATTAATTACTACATGAAACATAAGTGCATACAACCATGTATGTCTTGACATAGAATAGGTCACCCCCTTCCTTTCCCATGGGTGTTATAAGAGGCGACTAAGGGAGCTTAGGCAGCAGTGTCCTTTTTAAAACATCACTAAAGCCAAACTGCGGTTGGCAACCTGCCTGCCAATTGTGGCAACCACTGGCAAAACCCCCCTTTTGGAGAAGGCTGTGTTCAGCAGTGGACAGTTAACAACTTATACAACAATGACTAAATGAAACATAACTCACCTGAATATGATCAATGACAAGCCTGTCAACATCCAGACCTTTGTAATCTGCATTTGACTCTGCATTCCTCAACAATTGAAGAAGGAACTCAGCTGATTTTTTCGGCCAGCGGCCCTGCGTGGTTCCAAACTGCTTAGCCTGTGCACAACGGCCTACACCACCGTTGAAACGGCGGAATGGGATGCACTCTTTCTTGTCTACAACATTTTTTAGATAACGGACAGCACGACGGAGTGGTAACTTCCTAATCGCCATTGCTGTCTCATATGTGTTCTGAAAAAAAAAAAATATATATATATTGATTATAAGTTGCAAATTTTTTGTTGCAAAGTTGCAAGGTGAGATTGAAATCATTTAAAAGTATTTACAATTAAGAATGGACTCAAAATATAAAACATGTTAAAGCAAAAGATACATTGATAAAAAATTAGAAACCTCTAAAATTTTTTTTCCATACTAATTGCAACGACTGATTAGATATGCTTTGTTATACTTAAAATTTACTTATATTTATAACCAATATGTTTTTGCTATGGATTTTAGATTAATAATAAAAAGTTAATAAAAAAACTCATCAAAGAATACTACCAGTATTGTTCTATTTTACCCATATATGCTTTATGCTTGAGAAAAATATTTAAAATAGAAATTTACGACAATAGTAATTTTGCATTTATCATTATTGTTATTAATACTATAAATTTGTGAGTTTGTAACATACAAGTTCTAATGGAAAAGGATATAAGCTACTTTTTATTCAGCCACGAGTAGAAGATACAAATTTCAGTTTTTAATCCTAGAAATTAATAATAATTATACAATATAGCTATAATTAACTAGCAATAATGTCAGATTGGAGAATTGACTTAGGGCTTATTAGAAATATCAGTCATACACAAAGTTGCAGTCGGCTGCACATATTAGAAAATTTTACATGGTATGTAGTGTAAAGCAAACTGGCAAAAATTTTAACAAATATAAAAAAGGTGATGATATAATGAAAGTATAGAATGTGCCTCTTAGCCACACATGAGCTTTATAGTAATGTCTCTAGCTTCAGAGAATATTGAATTGCTAAAGTACTAGAAGATCCAAATTTCCCATCAAAAAAATTGGGAGAATAGAATAATAACTATAAATATATCGTCATAGTCGTAGAATACTGACGGATATGTAATATTTGTCAGATCCTTCAGTATTCTACGACTATGACGATATGCATACACGAGTACACGATTATACTTTTAGTTTAGCATTGTAAACAATGTTCATGAGGTACGGCGAAATAAAAAAAATATACCTTAAAATGAACACGGAGGTTTGAGCCACGGGCTTTGCATGACTTTGCTGGATTATCTGGTTCCCGAGAGTAACGACCCATTTTTGCTTCTGAAACAGAGCGGCTTGTTTCAACACAACACCTTAGAGGTTATATATTCTAAATGAACAAATATACACTCATCCATTAAAATATACACAGAAGTGCTAACAAAACGATGAAATAAGTAACATAATAATTAGATTAAACAAAATCTTTTGTAATTTTTTTGATAAAAACAGATTTTTATAAACACGACACCAACCTCTCAGGGGACAAATTTAAAGGAAAAGAAATTGACAATACAAAGTGACAGTTCTATGACATGGCATTGACATTTAATGCGTGGTATTGCCATGTATTGTAAATTTTTTTTGCTGTCAGATGTCAATTGCTCTTCATTTTTTTCACAATTTTCTTCTTTCATTTTTTCACAAGAGCCCGTGTTTCCACCCGGCTTTTTTTATTTACTATTTTTTTTTAATGTAAGCAAAAACAAATTACGCATCAAATTATTTTTCTATACCTAATGAAGATGGCGCCACCATGTTACAACGTTAACAACAACGACAAATAATACCTAATTCTTAAAAGTTTACTAAAAAAGAAGAACGTATAAAAAAATGGCGGGAAAATGGAATTTGGGCAAGGTTAGTTTTTTTTTCATTTATTGTGACTTTGGCAAAAGCCATCAACTAAAAAGTAACAATTACAAGCAAGGTTAGTTATTGTTTTGTTTTGTTTATTTCTAGACGCTAAAATAGATGAAGTTTGTTTATAATAATTTTTTTCATTCATTCTGGTCAGTTTTTTCTTATGGGTGAGAATGGTAACTTACGCTATCGGTGTACGCTAGCGATGCATTAGTGATAGATGATAGATGAAGATGACGGCAGGTCAGTCGGCCCATTGTGAAGAATTGGGCAAGAATTAACCACGATGGGTTCCAGGGAGACTCATTTGGAGATCGACCTATTGGGATGTATTGCTAGTAATTCTAAACCGTTTAATCTAATAATCCCGTTGCATATCTGCAAACATGGTTCTAGTAAACTATACTTTAGGGGGTTGAAATAAAAGACAAAGACGAATATCTTATTTTTTTTAATTGTGCAGATAAGACTACAGATAGATACATAATTACATAACTTTATTTATAATAAGTACCTAATACTTACTATCTCTACACATTACAATGATATGTATTGAAGATTAATTATATTTATACTGTGTAAATTATTGAGACCACCTGATCAACATGCATCTGACCTACTGCGTAGTCTATTGCTTCAAATATAGTATTTTGCTTGCAGTTAGTAGTCGAAGGTTTTATTTTACAAACTAGTACAAACATCAATTTTCATGTGGGCTCGTAGTCTCTCAGTTATAAAGAAATTGAACTAATTTTTTTTATATATATATTGCTCATAATTATAGAATAACGATTTAACAGATTTTATAATATATACTTATACCGTAAGATGATAATATTATTCAAAATGATAGATGTTGTAAAACGGATGGTGGAATGCCCATCAAAGCATAAAGCAATTAAAAAGAGCCGGATAATTACTCAAAAAGGAAAGACGAGGAACGGGTGATAGAATCTACTAGAATATTTAAAATCAAAATTCTGATGCCGAACCATTTAGATAGATTAGGTATTTTCACCCCTTATGATCTATAATGAACATGTATGGTCACTATCTGTGATAATTTAATATTTTTTACCAATTTCAAAATAGAATCTAAAACATTTTTTGTGTTGAGCGCCAGTTCGTAACCTGTTTTGATTTATTTATTCGTAGAACTTTTGTAACAAATAAAGATTTTGATGTAAAACAATATTTTTACATTATTTCTTGAATATTTGTCATTAGTACTTAAATACTTATAGATTAAGAAAAACGAGCGATAACATTAGGTATGGTTTGTAATATCTGTTAATTATATTTAACTATATACAATTAGGTTACAACTAGGCCTACCATATATCTACAGAACGTACTCGAATCAGTACATACCTCCACATTTTATAGTATACATCTTCGCTTAACGTCAATTTATACATATTTAATTACAATATTCGATTTAAAAATGACTAGAAGTCGACTAGTTTATAAATTAGTGGTTCTCAAACTTCGATTTTATTATCTTTTATTATATTCTGTCAACTAATATTGACATGGCTCCCAAACAAATATTAAAACATATTAAAAGAGGGAAAATCTGTCATCGATTTAAATTGTATCGAATAAATATCACGTACGGTTAAACTTAAAAGGGTAATTTTCCACAAATGCAATTTCTGTCTAATTTCGACAAACTTTCTTTAGTCAAAAAAGAATCTTTCTTTCGGTCTCGAATCTTTAGTCAAGTTGATGTCCCGAGAAAATATTTCATAAAATGCTGCCTTCTACATTTTGTGAGCATTAGTTTTTTTGGGGAATCGAAGCTGAAAGGTTCACCGAAGTTGGACAGGGGACGCACTTGTTGTAAATCGCCCTATATAATCTGAGATACTGCAGATAAATCTGAAATATTCATATTTTGTATCTGACGTTCGTGTTTGTTTTGATCATGTAAAAATATAATAAATTCTTTTTCTGATGTAGGTATTATTAATTAATATGTCTAAGTATTTACAAAAGAAATAGATTGTTTCTCAGTTAATACTCTGCTTATTGTGTTCTGCTTATTTTATCAACGTCATATTGAGATCACTGTTTTTGTTATTAACAATAAATATGAAAAATTTATCTATTTTAAAGTACCAACCTATTTCGAATATATTCTTTTATACTTTGAGAACCACTGTTATTATCACATCACTAACTTACTTCTTTTCTCTAAAGTGACTATTTTTGACTAGAAATTACGAGTATCTTTATGTATGGCAAGAGAAGATGCATGGATAGAAGATTATTAATTAAATACATTTTTATTTACATACTATTATTGATTTTGTATGTTGTAATAAATACCACGTTATTGAGTAGTTTTAAAATGAAAAATTTTCCTCGAAAATGAGAAAAGTTAAAATCTGTATATAATATATATCCCATTCAGACCCAAGATTTTTTTTCTTTCAGATTAAATATATTTTCGTGTTTTGGAGCCAAGCCATCTTGCCAGCACGCACGAGTACTACTGCACCACCTAACCGCTAAAATGATTTCTTATTAGCTAGTTTAGTATCTCACTATCGTGTTATTTCAGCTTCGTGCGTAAAAATGAATTGCGCGCGGTTTTAGAATTTTTTAAAGTTACAACTCACTCCCGTATCGTTCAAGTCTAAAAGGGATATAAATTATAATTGTGTAATATAAATTATAACTTGTTTTGACCTATTGAATTATCATCATATAGCATAAATGAAACCTCTAAATTGGGTTTTCAAATTAATTAATCAATAAAAAATACAAAAGTTTAAATAACATTTCTTATGTAACGACACTTCTGAGCAGAGTTGAAATTGCTATGTTAATCATGACTATATAAACAAAACGACCCAAACGAGAGGCGAAATGTGAAAATGTAGTCCTATTGACACTACAAGTTTACCACAACATGGTTCCTGTAAATATCGGACATACCTAATTATCTAAAGCGTAAAGTAATGTCTCTTCCATCCTCTCACTCCGACTCTGTGCGTAAAATAAACGCAGTACATTTTTATTAATACGACATGGATTAAGAAGCCACAGACAGACCTATACATCGAAGCTGTTTTGACACCGAAGAAACGGCTGCTCACGTAATCCTAGAATGTGAAGCTGTGGCTTCTTAACGTTTAGAAATCCTAGGAATGGTGAGGTCGCTCCGTGAGACCTGTGAAGATCCCAAGAAGCTTCTGTGCTTCTGGGTGCAACTGGACTGGCTGTACTAGCCATAGCTCATACGCACAACGGCCCAAATGAGAGGTTAAGCGTTGAAAATAGAGTCCAATTTACATTACATTATATTGTAACATGGAATGACAAGTAAGCTGATGGCCCACCTGTTGGAAAGTGGTAACCGTTGTCATTAATGTATTTAAAATTATTTTACAATGGGAGGGCCTGGCCCCTTCAAATGGCGCTTGTTTATTCTCAGATATGTCTTGTGATGATCAGATGTGTGTGTGAAGTTCCGCCTGACATCTGCGGGAGTCGAGGGACCAGACATAACTGGAGTGGGCACGCCATCCCCTCCTCCCTTAAATACGCTCATGATCGTCGTCTATAGACGTGTTCATGAACATAAGAGAAAACATAATGAGTGATGCATGAGGGACGCCATGGATGTCACTGTGACATCCATCCATCACTTTCCTGAGGACTAAGGTGTTATGCCTCCGTTACCCTGTTTTTTTTTTTTTGGAAGTTGGAATAACATTCATAGTTACTTGTATTATAATTGATTTTGTTTTAAAATAATGGACTATTAAGATTGTTTGATTAGTGAGGCGCCGGCGCAGGTGGCGGTAGTAACGGCAAGGGAGCCACGCACGCAGCACACCCTTCTCTTTCTGAAAAGAAAGACATAATCATTTTAGTTTATATATCTAAATGTATGAAAAATACAATATATAACTGTTTTATTCCTATTGAGTACGACTAAAAGGATACAGCACAATACATTGGTGTCGATTCTGAGGCGTCATTTCTCTACGCCAAATAAATATTTTAATTTTTATAGTTTCGTAAAATTACTGCTTTATAGACCATCATAAACAAAATACGTAATAAATATTGACTTAAATCTATTAGAATTTTTGTTCTTTTAGTCCGTAAAGATTTCACTATGATATTAAAATTAATAATTTATTTAATAGGTAAGTTTAAAAAGACAGTGATTCAATATTGACCCCAGCGTAAGACAAAGCATATAGCAAGCCATCTAACCTGGTGGTCTACCATGAAATGAAATTCCGAATTTTCGGGTTCAATTTTGTGTTTTTGTTCGTACCGAAATCGATCAAGTTGGAGAAATGGAGAAGAAATAACGAAATGTTAACCTCCAGAAATGGAGCTTAACATTTCGTTCATCATAAATCCTATCCTAATAGTCCAGAGGAACGATATTTTAAAACTTAATAATTTTAAACGGCATGTTAATGCATAATTGCAATTTTAACATCAAATTTCTGTTTTGTTCGTCCCCGAAATTTCAGAAAATATTTCATGGTAGGCCCTCTGATTATAATAATTATAGGCTATATCCTAAGGCTATATCCTATATCCATCCTGTGTAAAGACTGACTAGTGACCAACAGTGACATGCTAATGATTTCCTGCGTCAGCTTGTCTGCTCTCCTAGCAGTACAATCACAATGTATTTAATAAAGAAATGTAAACAAAATTTATTCATTTCGTCATTCCAGCTCCGAGTATAAAAGATATCGATCTACGGTCGCCAGGCACCTAATCCCGCTATAATTGAGACGCAGAACCTCACAAGCAATTAGTCTGGCAATCGCCCACACCATTAAATATGTTACAATAATCAACATAAACGATATTTTGGTAGAAATGTTTACAGATACTTATTTATTATCTATTTGTGTTATATAAAATAAAAAAAGGAAAATGTGATCAAGGAGTTTTAACATACAGCCTATTCTAGTGAAGAGGGGGGAAAGGGATATTTAGTAATGGGGTCTAACAGCCCTATCAATATACTCTATCAGGTCGACTTCCACGCGGTTCCCCCTGGAAACGATCGTAGTTAATTTTTGTGGAATTCATCACGATGTGCTGACTGATCTGCTTTCAACGTCACCTATCATTTCCCACTGGTGCCCTGAAAGCGTATACTGATTGCGCAGGCGGGGTGACTATTCCATCATAACTAATAAAAAAAAATCTAGCGCAGAATTCGTAACGCACAATGGGTGGAATTTATTATAACACATTGACTAAGAATACGATCGAAACGAATATCCAACTGCTATCTGATATTGAAATGGATGTTTTTTGTACTTTAAACGTTCAAAGAAACCCAATATATAAATATCGGAGCACTACCAACTATACCCATGCCTACAAAAAATAATAAAATAAGTAGGAATGTGTCTAGAAGGCAATTTAAAAGGAATAAGATTACCACCACTTGTTACTTACCACGATCATGCATATAATGTAGCGGGGGCCGAAGGTCGGGCAGCCGCCAGGGTTCAACTCTCGCGTCTTCCTCCCTTTCAACTTTAGGCACCAAGCCGCTCCAGCAGGAGTCTTCGGGCCGAGGAGTGGGAGCTGTGCGGCATGGCCATGAACATCCCTAGAAAAAGATATCAAGTACAAAAATGTATCTTTAAAAAAACTTCAGAGGGCACCATTTGAAAATTTCGAGGACGAACGAAACAAATTTGATGTTAAAATTACATAATACATGCCATATAAAATTATTAAAAATGTTAAAGTATCGTTTCCTCTGGACTATTAGGATAGGATTTATGATGAACGAAATGTTAACTGAGTCGATTTCGGTACAAACAAAATCACGAAATTGAGCCCGAAATTTCGGAAAATATTTCATGGTAGGCGCCCAGTTTTCAAAATTAATTTTTATAAAAAAAAAACAAAATTTTTTGACTGTTCTATTACCATGTTGATTTCTTGATTTTATACAGAGTTTTATTCACAGATTTATAATGGATTTATTTCGTCTTTTCTCTCTCTTACATTGATTTGTACAACGTCCTGGGGAGGGAAACAGACAGAGATCTTAATAATGGAGACTAGCGGTCCCGTTGCTAGCAAAGTTGATTCCTGGTGGACTAATCATGATGGACCGATTGACCTAACTTCGTCCTAATCTAACATTACTGACTGGTGGCTCACTGGTCAACTGCATTGAATTTATTATTATTTTTCACTGATACCCCGCATTTAAATATCAACATATTCATCTATTGTCATCTGTTAAAGAAATATCATCATTATCATATCAGCCTTTAACTGTCCACTGCTGAATAGTGAGGCGGTTCGTCCTTGGGGGATGTTGCCATTAGTTGCCACGCTTGGCAGGCAGATTGGCAATTGCAGTTAGGCTCTGGAGACGTTGAGGGGCATTGCTACCCATACGACACTCACGGGAAAGAAAGTGGGGACCTATTCTATGACGGGACCACACGGCCAAAATGATTAAATAGTTAAAAATATGTTGATATTATATTCCTATCCCGTCGTCGAATCATATTTCCTAATACATATATTTCAGTGTAACAATTTTTTTATCGAATATGCACGGCCTTTACGGGCCATTAAACGAAGCATTGGAAATGTGACATTTACCGCGACTACGCGCGCTAGTTCGCGATAAAAATCGTGTTTACTTCGATTACCGGCACGAGAGCGCCATCTACTATCAGATGCGGCACGCGGCACGACAATTACTTAAATAACTTACCCCTCGAACGCTATCACTTAACTAATAACGATTCATTCACATCGATTGTACAGAGCTTCTCAAAATAGGGCAACAGTAATAAAAAGATCAGAACATATGCATGTACACCTAGACAAGTTATTGAAAGTTTTTTTTTTTATCTTGTAAAAATCTAGCATAGAACGAATAAAACTAACGCATAAACACGTATAATTAGGTTTGTTATTTCGTTGTTATTTTTAAACTACAGCAATAATGTTTCTACCGTGAAGCAGTTGTGTTTGCATGGCTGTGTTTCGGTTTGAAGGGTGGGATATGGCGTGAATTTACAGGGTACAGAGTAATAACACCTGAGTCCTCAGGTATGGCAACGCATGGGAGGTATCATGGGCGAAACAGTATACTCTGTTATGTCCATGGTACTGCTTATGTCTATAGGCGATGGTTACCACGTTCCATCAGGTGGGCCGTCAGCTTGTTTACCTTGTTTTTATATATTATAAAGGATATTATTTCATGTTTTCCCTCTCTCGCGCTGTGTATTGTGGTTTGTGTGAAAAGTTTCTATAATTTTCCCAAATATGTACCTATTCGATAAATAAATCAACACTTTCACAACCACTGTCGCGTGTGTCGAGTTAAAATAATAACATTACAGACAATGCTCGCAGTAATTATTGTTGTTTGATTTAAAAGCAATTGTACTGATACAAAGATTATACAACGTGCAGAGGTGACGTGTTATTCTGTAAACTGTTTTCAACAGACTTCAAAAAGAAGGAGGTTCTGAACTCGGTTGTATTTGTTTTATGATTTTTTTTTATGGGTGAAAATGGTATGGTAGCCCCGCCTGCGCTGACGGGATACGCTGGCGGAGCACCAGTGAAGGGTGATAGATGAGAATGAAAACAGGCCAGTTAGTCCATCATGATGAATTCATCACGAATTAACCATGATAGTTTCCAGGGGGAACCGCATGGAGGTCGACCTGGTTGGGTATATTGCTAGCAATGGGATTCTCAGTCTTCATTACTAACAATCCCTTTCCCCCTTTGTTTTATGATTGTTACCTCATAACCCCCGACAGTTTTAAATCAATTAGGAAAATTTTCTTTTTGTCTGAAACGATATACTGACAAATTGATCCTATAGAAATTTTATCAAAATAAATTCAGTAGTTTAGTTTTCAGATCAAAATAACTGGTCTATCTAACTGGAACAACACCTGAGTCCTCAGGAATGGCAACACATGGCGGGTATCATGGGCGAAACAGTATACTCTGTTATGTCCATGCTACTGCTCATGTTTATATACGACGGTTACTACTTTCCATCAAGTGAGCCATCAGCTTATTTGTCATTCTAAGTTGCATAAAAAAACTGTATAACTACTTTATTAATAATTAATTGTTATTAAAATAAATTAAAACACATTAAGTATACAGTAAAGTGTCTGGCAAAAAATGTGTTTTGGTGATACAACTTACTGAATTAGGCATAATATCATCTATGTAAAGTTATCGCTTCTATACCCTTATAATCTACATAGAACCACATGTATTAAGTATTCAACGTCGGTTCCGTATAATTATTTAGGTAACTGCGCGCCACTATCACATAATGCCCTTGTTGTGAATAATGAATGAGTTTCTCCATGTCCGATTAACACACATTCAATGTCGCGTGCATAACCGACATAAAATATTGAGTCAGTGATTTTTGCGATTAAAAATAATCACATAAAACTATAGTAAACACGTTATTCTAAAAACTACAATATATATTGAACACTTACTCATAACAACGTCAGATCTCTCATAAACATATTTTAGCTATTGAAATGTTTTGTCCCTTTTTTGCACTGTTTTTTTTTTTATTTGAAAGATACTGACAAAACACTTTAACAGTTAAAATAGGTCTATTTTAGTTTTTATGAATAAGGAAGTTGTTATTTAAGAAACGTTTAAACTAGTTATTTTTTCTATATATCGTAAAAGAGGTTCTCCCTAAAGATTACAGTACAGGGTTTTTCAAAATGGGTACATATAGGTTTTTTTTTTAATGGATGATAATGGAATGGTAACCCCGCCTGCGCTAACGGTATACGCTAGCGGGACACTAGTGAGGGATGATAGGTGACAATGAAAAGGCAGGTCAGTTAGCCTATCGTGATGGATTTACTTAGAATAGAACACGATAGTTTACAGGGGGAACCGCGAGGAGGTCGACCTGACAGGGTGTATTACTAACAATGGGGCTACTAATCCTCATTTTTAACAATCCATTATCCCCCCGGTACATATAGGTTTCTTCAGGGTCGGCAATGTGCACGTGACACTCTTTCTTGTAGGCGGCATCCACAGGTTACAGTAACCGTTTACCATCAGACGGGCTGTATCCTTGTTTACCATCTTCGTGGTATACAAGCTCGAAAAATTGTCGCCCAAAATTGAACTACACACAAAAGAACAATTTAGGTATATTGTAAATTTAACGAAATAAGTAGATATTTAGAAATCAGATGTAGAAAATAGATTAATATTGGGCATTAAACTGATTATACATGTATACTATCTAAAAATAAAATCTAAAGTCTTTTGACATAGTCTGTTTAATCTGTTTTTGACATAGTCTCTAGAACTAATAAGAGTGAACGCAGCAAAAAATAAATAATAATTCTGATGCACCATTTCTCTAAGCCTGTCTCTTAACCTAATACTTTAATTTGATAATTTAGCAAAATTACTATTTTATAGACAAACATAAACTAAATTTATAATAATTTTGACTTAAAACTATTAGAAAAATAGTGATGTGAAATGTAACTGTGATATGAAATCGAAATTAAAATTTTAATAATATATTTAGAGAGATAGCGCTTCAGAATCGATCTCATTGATAAATAAAAATAAATATTACACCTAGTTATACCGGTTATATATAATAGCACCTAGTACTTTTTCATGAAACTGAATAAATTTTCATAAAAAATATAGTTAAAATCTTACAGTAATTTATGAACCATTCATACTAAATCAATCTCAAAATGACGTGGTTTATATAAATTTATGTTTGTATGGTTTAAAGTTATTGTAACGTAATAAAAATAAAGATATCTATGGACAGTAGGTACATAGGCAGAGGCATGCGTCTGAACAACAAAATTAATGTTCCGCACATTCTGCTATCAATAAAAACGTCCAAATGCCAACTCCCAAGTGCGGTAAATAAAAAAAAGTAAATGTCACCTTGACATTTAAGTAAAAATGCGGGGCGCCAACACTCCAAATACAGAAATTTAATTTTGATAACATCGTTTGTCACAATGTTCTAGTGTTTCCTATAATTTGATTGTTGTTTGTTGGACAAAATATATGAATTAAATATGAACATAGAACCGTTGTCAACGTAATGGTGTTTTGTTTTAATAAAAGAGAATGTTTGACTGGCCATTGTTTTGTTTAATTTCATAGTTTTGTAGGAAATATTAATAACGAATGTATAGTACATTATAGTCATTATTTATAGTTAGATATCTATCTTGATATCATTGATTGATAATGGAGTTCCCGGCTTTGCCTATGTTTTATGAAATACTAATATTTTCTTATATCTCGTTTTACTATTAAGTAACCTATTCGATATGATATCAATATTAAATCGAATAAAAAAGGTAAGCATGGAGAGTGACTAGTGTGAGATATAAAAATTAAATGTGTTCACGTTTACGTCGATTTGTTTGTATGAAAATAAGTTTCTGAAACCATCCGCCAGAGGCGCAACAGTATTATTATCAATATACTTGTATGTCTTTACGTAACTCATACTAGCTACACTGACTATTGGCATAGGTACCCACCTGCTTACGATTTGAAAATTTGCAGTACATT